GGGAAGATTTTGAGATGTTTTCAAAAATTTGCATAGCACATTAGGTGGCGGCAGCCACGCCCCTAAAAAAATTTTTACAAGGCTAATTTGAAATTTTAAAAATTGAAAATCATTTCAGTTATTTACAATTATAAACAAGTCACTTGCCATTTTTATAGCCTGACAGAGCTTGTCTTCGTTTTTATAAAGACATCAGGAAAGTATAAGTAACTTTCAAAAATTTTGCGGCCCACTTCGGGAGGGGGGGGGGGGCGTACATGGGTGTACATGGGTGTACATGTACAGCGTGGGGCAAAAGTTTGGGAGCCTGGTCCTTTGGAGATAAAATCAGAAGGAAAGTACTTTGAAGCAAAAAGTTTGGTGCTCACGTGAATCGAACCTTCACAAATACAGCGCAGCTCTCAAATTTTGAGATTACTTCTTATGGCTTCAAAACAGCCCTTTGAAACCTTGGTGAATCCTTATGGTACGCAGGCAGTCGTGATGAAATTTCCTATGCCTTCACGATAACGGCTTCTTTTACTAGGCAAATCTGCAGCTGATAGAGCAAGCTTTTGGTTACATCATTTTGCGAAGAAATTTTTTTCCAATTTCTAAGAAAAATTTTGGAGTGAAAGCAAGTGCACTCGCATAATGGAAATTTGGACGCAATTGCGCGAACGGGAGCGGAAAATCATAATCTAAACGTATTGAACTTGCTCCATCAAGAATCGAAATAGGTGGTTGTATACAGGGCTCATGGAAAGAGTATAGCCCAAAAGTCAGTACCTGCTGCACTCCTATAGCTTTCAATCAGTTTGAAGACAAGTGGCCACTGGCACGCAGGTAATATTCGCAAATTTTCATTTTGCGTTTTCGAAAGAATAATATCTGGCAAATGCAACTACGACGATGTGATAGCGCAAAGCCTCCTCTGCATTGTATGTATCGAAGTGCTGTAGAATATTCACAGTATCTTCAGCTATGAAAAAATTGTGAATGCTAAAATTTCGATTTATTGGCTCTGCAGAACACATGTTTGATAAATTCAATTCTTATAGAAGAAATGTGGCAACAGGGCTCATCAGAGGTTGCGCTTTCACATGCTGGATGCCGTTTTCTTAGAGAAAAGCAAAAGGAAACTCGTAGAGTTCCCAGTAGTGATTTGCGGGAATCTGATTGAATAATAGTGCGCGAAAGCTAACCTTTAGTAAGCCCTCAATTCAACTCTGACGTCATTTCACAAGTAACAGGTAGACTAACACGTTACAAACAGGATAAGCGCTCAGACCTGTGTGCACAGGATTTCAACGTGTTAAAATACAATTTTTATGCACAAAAAATAAATAATCAGTTTGTTTACAACCGGTAAGCGAAATTGAGCCACCAAATTTGGTGTGTAGCTTCGCGACCACGATCAAAAGGAAAGTATGAAAAATTATGAAAAAATTATGTGAAAAAAGAGTTGTAAATGGTTTTTTATTTAGGTTGCTCCCGCGCAACCTGGGAGCACCCTGAGGTTGCGCGGAGCCAAACAAACTCATAATTTTCTCCCTTCTTCACATAATTTTTCAAAATTTTTTACATAAATCTATTCTTCAGTTCGAACTATACCTGAGTATACTTATCTTAACACAAATTTCGTCTTCTCTGCTTTGCTATGGCCCTTGAATGATACAAAAACCGCTTTTTTCACGTTTTGATGTTTCATCTCCAATTTTTCTCGTTTTTTCTCGTTTTTCGTTTGACTTCCATTCACTCATCGTTCGCTGCAGGCTATTAGCCGTGTTCCTACAAACACCGCAAAAGGTATCTCGTAATCATCTGCAATGTCAAAAGGGACTTCGTTTTCAAAATTTTCAAACGCCTCCTCCTGCTGGGCCCTGTGTGGCAAGCATTTTTGACTAGATGAAGTGTGATTTGTAGAATATCATTGCGGCACTTTTTGGCAAAAACTCGGAATCAAAAACATCAGTAGTTTCATGATTTACAACACTTTTAAATCGGCTCCCAGACTTTTGCCCCATCCTGTTTGATTTACCTTCGGAGAGCGTGTTGAGCTTGGTGTTGAGTGTACGTTTACAGAGAATGCACACATTCACTGAACTACGAATATGCTTTTTTCGAAAACATAGTTCCGAAGGTTGGCATTGAATGTTTGCCATAACACTCATAACTTCTTTCACAGCAACTCAACAGATACAGAAGTCAGGTTTGGAACAACAGGATGCATCCAGCATCCGGATCGCCACCGCTATTTGGGATTCTTCTCTAGTTAGCTAGGCATCGGGCCAAAACCGGGAATCGAACGCCTTCAGAGGGTTGGAAAACTCACCAGAGTATACACTTCTCTGTGTACTGCAGTTCGACACAGGTCCGCCATCACGCCACGTTGAGGCGGCGAAGCATATGGAGGCACAAGCGAATACAACGAAGAAGATCACTGTTCTATCTATCGCTACTATCGAAAACCAGAAAATAGCCAGGAGATGTATCAAATAGTGCTGCGATGAACTCTCGCGCGAATCATTCGAAAAGTCGAATATTCGAAAATCTGCGATTTCGAATAAAATTCTAAAGTCGAATATTCGATGGTCATCAATTCGATCATTCGATGGTCATCGAATATTCGAATCATTCGATGAACATCGAATATTCGAATATTCGATAATTTGAATAATGAAACCAAAGCCCGGCGCAGAATGGAAGCAAGCTGGATTTGGTTTGGTTATCCTTTTGCGGAAAAGCAAAAGGATATCATTTTTGTGGCCAAAAATTGCGACGTTTTTTAGTCGGCGTTTCGTCTTTGAGGGTTTTTTACATTTAGGACTGACAGTCAAAGGAGACTTCGTTTTCAAGAAGCCTAGAAACGATCTCATTCTGGGCCCTGGATGGAACTCCTTAAGCCTAGCACATCACTGTAGGAGTTTCTATCAAGCTGCAACTCTCAATGGGGAGTGTATATGCTTTGTGGTCCTAGCGCAATAGTCTATACAGTAATCGTGATGCGCCATTTCTGTGGCAGATGTAGCTGCTATTGATTTTTCGCTATCCAGGAACGCCAGATTTTGATGTTCTTCAACAGCGTTAGCAGTTCTTCATGAGCGTCATTGATTAAACTTCAAAACTCAAACGAGTTTAAACGTTTAGATCCACTGTAACACGGCTTTATGACCCCGACAGGAAAAAGTGAAAAATAAGTACCATATTTTTGATCTGCGCACCGAATAACCTTCTAAACCAAGGTTTAACAAGATTTCAAAATTTTGTAGATAACGGGCATTACGATACCCCCCCCCCCACATGCCTGCTGAAAGTACGAGCAAAATGTACTCTCCGGAGGACTTTTTAGCTGCATCTCTTCTTTTGTACACTATTTCTCTTTCTTTTACCAAACTCAGATTTATCTCTGAGTTCCACGATAGACTGTAGCGCCCACCAAACTCAGAGTTATCGCAAAGCACAGCTGCGCGTTTGGTGGAAAATCGAAAATTTCGAATATTCGACTATCGAATAATATTCGAAAATCGAAATTTTCGAATATTTATCGAATGATATTCGAAAATCGAAAATTTCGAATATTCGGATATCGAATATCATTCGATCCGAATATCATTCGATTTTCGAATATCATTCGAAAAATTAATGTCTATGTGATATGATAACATGACCAAGCGCATAGTTTACAAGTACTGTAGGTCTTTGTAGTTCCCTACATAGAGTTCCCTACGGTTCTACCACATCCCTTTCTCGCACTACAACAAACGACGAACTACTTGATGCAACACTATCCTTCCGGTCACTAGTGCATTATCTTGAATACGCCCTCAGTTTAGATGTCGAGTGGAAGTAACGCAGCGACGATATCAGGAACATCTTCACGTTCACGTTCACATCTATCACCTTTTCCGAATGCCAATAAAGAACAGCGTGCACTAGACCTCAGGCAGAGTCGGTAGTAATCTGGTCGGAACTCACAGTTACTCTGACCTAACTCTGAATTATATCTGAGCTGACTCGCATCTTTCTTACCCCTTCAACAGCTGAATGAACCAAATCTAGAAAGCGATATATGGCAGGAGACTCCGTAACCGGTAATTTATCCCTAGTAGGAAAACATTGTCGAAATCGTTCTGCACAAGAAACAGAAAAAACGCGAAAAAATATATTCGATAGTGGAATATTCGATTCTCGGTTTTCGAATACTATTCGATAGTCGAATATTCGAAATTTTCAATTTTCGAATATATTCGATATTCGAATATTCGAAAAAATTGAATTTCCCCAAGTATACTGTCCGTATGTATTGTATTACGTATGTTCCCAATACAAACTTTAGTTTCTAAACCGATCTGGACCAAACTTGGCACACATACACTTCGGGAAGGGGAAACTGTCATAGGCAACTTTTCGTCCTCGGTTGATATCGATTCTGCCGATTTTTATCGATTTTTTGCAAAGTTTGACCCATACGGTGGGAGTTGGCATGGGGGGGGGGGTGATCGTGCATGCTGATTACAACATTATGAATTTACGATCATCTACTACTTTTATCGATTTCATCGATTTTTTCACAAAGTTTGAGCTAGAGGGCTGTGATTTGGTACAGGGGGGGGGGGGAGTAGTCGAGTATGCTAATTGGAAAACGGAAGGGAGATAGAGGATACGCATGTAGAAGTGAGTAAAAAGAAAGTTCTATACAGTGATAGGGATATTAACCTTTATAAAGTGTTTTGACAGGGCCAGGCGGAGCCTGGTATGCCAGTTAATTCATAAAGCCCTCAACCAAGCCAGGCAACTACGAGCATCCTGTTGAAAGCTACCATATTTCGGTGGTTTCTAACAAAAACCGAAACCATAGAAGACCATGAGAATAATAAGAAAGTGTATAAAGTACAAAGAGTTAAAAAGTGGCATTAACTCGATAGTGTTCGTGATAGGTAAATTTCCTCTAGAAGAGGAGGGACAAGACCTCGTACCCTTTCACAATCAATGTTCGCGCTTTCCATGGTCATGTTTAGGCTTGCGGCGATCACATCATGTATTTTTGCGATGATTTGCATGGTAGTATCCAGGATCCATTATTCAGTTGATGTGGTGATGGGCTACTGGATCAGCAGCATCATATTCAGGTTTACAGACTTATTCAATACTAGCTTGGCATAAAATGACACACTTCCATTGTAAAACAAAATTTACAGCGTCTATCACGGTTTCTGTGAAGTTCCTCACGTTTTGCGCCCTCGCAATCGACCATTTCGACGACTTTTCATTTTCTGGACAATGTACGAGTTGGAACATAATGTACCCGAAGGAAGGATTCCAAATGAGCTCGAATGGCCCTTACCTTGGCCACAGGTATATTACATACCTTCATTTCACTTTCTCCTATCTCATACATCAATGTATGATATTTGAGATGTTCGTGGACAAATTCGAAGAATGGAATCGAAAATCAAATAAATCCATAACGGGAAAAATTGCGCTGTGGTTGACTGATCACCGGATTAAGCTGCACTTTTGAGCATATACAAAACTTAAAACAAAAACTTCCGAAATTCATTCATTCCACAAGGGCAGAAATTATCACAAATTTTAATAAGAATTTGCAGTCCTTTGTATTTGTGTCCTTGGTATAAAAGCAACAATTTTACTTGCTGCTCTTCATCTATTGCAACTGAGATCTGAATGATTTCACACTAAGTAATAATTGAGAAAATCGAGAAATTATTCCAACAGCAGTTACACGCAAACGCATATGAATCGAAAAGCATGACAACTGCGTAGATAAATTGCAGATTAAAAGTAAGAACAACAGTGAGAAGATGCATACAAAACCGCCCACTCTGATTTAACATATCCAATGAAAAAAGACCGCAAGCTTATAACTGCAGTAGAAGCACATTTCAAAAAAAAAATTACGTCGCATACATTAGCGAAAAAAATCATAAAGAAAAAATGCAGACAGACCCCGATAATTTTCTTTTGACGAGCAATACGTACTATCTACTATTTGCCGTTATTATAAGTAACTCGTAGATATTGTTTACACAAGTGTAACAAGTCTTAACTATATTGTTAATCTCTCAGTCACACCAATAACTATGTTAAAGGCACCATCCACCTAGATTTCTGACTTCCACGTTTTTGTCGTTTCAGGGCCTTCTCATGTCCCTGATTCCGAATATGAAGTCGAGAATGCGCGAAAATTCCGACAATCCCCGTTCCGGACAACTCACAAACCGGTTTCCGGAACAGTGATTGGACGGGCGCGCCCAAATGGGCGGACATGGATGGCGGAGGGTGGGCATGGATGGGGGTCCTCGTGCATCTTCGCTCTTCCGAAGCGATTTTCTCGCTTCCGAAACGGCATTTTGCGTTGCGACTTGGGCATTGAATTGATAGGCGGCCCTACTATTATATGCTACCAAAAGCTCAACACCCTCAACTTAGGGTGGACGGTGCCTTTAATTTTGATTTTGACTAGTCAAAACAACTTTGTAAGCGTTTGCTACTCAGAATGTGGTCTTATTACATATTGCTTTTTGAAAACAGTACTCCGAAAAAATCGCAAAAAATCGAACTTGATAGCTTTAAGTTGATCCGCCTTGCAGAGATCCAGAGTAAGCATGACAAGAACAGAACTAAAAATCGCCAGCGATTGCAAAAATAGAAACTGTACAACCTTACAATGTTCGTGAGCTGATTCAGAGGGACTGAAAACATGATAACGATTTCTACTTCGTAAAACGAGTAAGTCGGTGAGGTAATATGTCAAAACTTCGATGGTCTTATAGACATCACAGAAAGGGTAAATGATGATAACCTGATACATTATCGACTCACGAGCAAATATTATCTGAGTTGGGAAGATTGAAATAAATTCCTGGGCACAGTATAAGTGATGGTACGTTGTTTTTCGTGAGTGGCACAATTATGATGGTTGCTTTTTTCTTTTCGCCTGAAAAAAAAAAGAAACTCCGTAATATCGTGGTTTACAGTCGAAAACATAGATCAAAGACTAGCACAGAAAAATCATTCTAAATGGAGAAGATCTGCCTATTTTAGATTCGAAATGGACCAAGCAAGGCACATCTTTTAAATGAGCACGGCTGACTGAAAATGCGGAGACAGTAAAGCAACTTACACCAACGAGAGCCTCTGTATTGGGTGGAAGGTGTAAAGCGGCTTCTGGTAACACCATTTGTGAGGCAGTCTGTACGATTCGAGATCGAAGGTCGTAGGCAGACGTCGGTGCATCAGGTGTTGCCGGCATTTCTATGCGCGCACCCTGTGTTGGATATGGCCGAAGTCGAGCTCTGTAATAACTCCGATATTGCTAGAGAATACTCATGTGATAGTGCTCACCCAGCTGTCAGCTTACGCAGTGATGAAGAGCTTTTATTTGATGGAGTTACACCTTTTATCGTGCCTTTGCCGGACGCTACTACCACTCGAGAAATCTGTAAAAATCCACTGTACCGGGTGTCCACATACACAAAGCTTTTGATCCACTGGACTATGTGTTCGCGATACTATGGCATGTTGTGTGGAAGTTAACAGATTTTTTTTCGTAATGTCTATGCATGCATCGCCTGTTATAAAGAACCTAGTAGTTTTCTGATATATCCAAAGAGATAAAAACATTTTCACAAGTTCAACAAATTATTCCAGTTACGATGCACATCGAAATGCAAAGCATCCAAACAAACAATTTACTCTGCTGTGCACTGAAGACAATCACATGCTATCAATCACACAGGGATGTAAGCTGTTTGTTCCAGAAGACAAAATGGAAAACATTTCATGCGTTTTAAAACATGCAATTAAGGGCGTGTTTGAACAGAAAAAGGCAAGGCTTTGAGCAGAAGGGCGCATGGCGCCGCCAGCATCACATAAGAAGAGGCAACAAGCAAACAGGCGATAATACGGAACATAATTAACTTTAGGTTGTAACAAACAGAGCAGCGAAAAGTTACCGTATGGTACAAAAACATCAGATGTCACAGACCTGAGTCAAAAACTAGACGAAGCGGGAGGGTCTGCTTGTTTACACAGACGAAAGAGGTTAAACGTTGAGAACGATGTGATTGCTGTAGTAACAATAGAAACAAGAAAGAGCACACAACAATGAATTACAATGCGCAAATTCTACCTACAGCAGGCGGATTCATATAAAAGCAAACTAGAAGAAAAAATGCCATAACAGACAAATTGACGGAACCTGAACGTTTCTCTATGAATAGCTATCGGAACTACATGAGAACACAAACAGCTCATCGCGAAATAAGCAGTAAAGATAAGATTTTGAAGGAAACTAGCATGAGATTTCTACCTATCGATAGCAATTTCTACCTATAGATACAATAATTCCGCTTATCCGCCATAACGCAGTTCTTAACAACAAAATCCAAAAATAACAGGCGCATATACAGAGCTGGCTAAAGATGAGGTACAGCCGATTTATACAAATTGGAGAGCATGTTTTGGATCTAAAATACGGGATTAAATAAGCTCGCGTAAGAGGACAGTGGTGAGAAGTGATATCAAAGTTCCCACTAAATCTCTCAAAAACGACGTATGATTGGGGTCAGCGTTGGTGTGGTGGTGAACTGGAACAATCCTGTGTATGTGCGACTACGATGACGATCGCTCATGGGCAGTCGCTGAAACACCCAACACCAATTCCACGCCATAACAATGAGAGGGGTGCTAATAAAGATGAGTAACGTGCTTAAAAGAGCACCATGTTTGGTCGAAGTGGCCTTTTTATATGGGAGGTGTACAATAATGCAGAGGATAAAACACCGATTTCAAATGTCCCTTCCTGATGACTAATGTATCAAAGTTATGAAAATTTCAATGAACCACAAGTCGAAAGTTGGGGTTTGTTAATAAACTAGTATTTCAAAAATTCATTTGTTCTCACCAGCAGCATGCTTTGCACTGTTGGGCTCAACGAACAGTACAACTTTGGAAGGTTCTCGCTAACTTGAAAGAAAAATGACTTCAAAGAATGGACGGTCTGCCACTGGGTTCATCAGGAGATCACACAAAAAGCTCGAAAATGCGGCTAGTACAACTTCTTGCTCCTGTTAGTATCATAGTGAAGGATGGTGGGAATGCTTACGGATAGGTAGACTGCCTGAAATCCGCGCATCTGGAGCTTTAGAAATGGAATCTCTTTATTGAACTGCGATCCCCTCCCCGGTGGGAATGTCAATGCATGCGGCCCCAAGTGTGACATACTTTTTAGCTAAGTATTTATTAAATAAAATGCTCTGATAATCATCACTGCTTCATTAAAGCTAAAAGAATCTTACACAAGTTTGGCCTTATTCACACAAGTGATTTTCCTCTCTGACAAAAGCAATAACTCCATGGTCCCTGAACGTTCCGCAGATAAGGAACCAGATTTGTAATCAGCGTTTTATGCTCTTCCATATGGTATCATCCCTTCTAAAAAGGCCGTTTGATTAAACATGATTCCCTTCTTAGGAAACAGAGCGAAAAAGAACTTTATACTAGCTAAGGAGATATGAAAAGAAATGACAGTCAGCAAAACAGACATGTTTACAGTTCAGAGTGCGATGCTGATCGCCAAACTTGGGAAAATAAAGTCAATAACATTTTAGATAATAATTACTTCCAGACCTCTGGCAAGACCTCAAAAGACTGCAGTGCTGGAGATTTTTGCAAGCTATAGGTTTCCACTCCACGGTGCTAAAAAAGTGCGAGAAATCAGTAAGATGACTAAGTCAAAGTGAAATTTCAATGAATGCAGATGAAGGATGGAAACAGAGCCAAGATCCTAAAGTCAGCAAAAACAGTTAAGAGTGACGTTATGTAAAAGGGACTAACCAACCTGAGAGGTAGAAAGTAGATTATGACGTCGCTCGCAGAAGTAAGAAGAATTGAATGGTCATATATTGCATCTATTGTTTTTTATGCCAATGATATAAATCTCTGCATGCAAAGTCCAAAATGAGAACTTCCTTTTCTCCTCCCCCTCCCGAGCAGATTGAAAACTATGCGAATCAAAGACTAAGAAGATTTCTCAAACCACAATGGAACATGCACTAAAACCACACATCATAGGCTGGAGTTGCGTAATTAGCAAGTTAAAATGTCCACTCCACTGCTGAATAGCTGGAAGAAGAGGAAGTTTGACCTCTCTTCAGAAGGATAACTGTATAATATGTGGTGTGGTAGTGATGAAGAACATGCATCTTATACATGAGTGCTGTGAAAAAAAAATGCTTACCGGAGCGGGTGATACAGTTCCAGAAGCAAGGCTTCGACCAACGATGCGAGTCCTTGGCGATGACATAGGACTCGACACCGAAAGAGGCTTGATGGGCGTAGTTGGGGAAGAAAAACGGGGAGAACTGACATATGCTGCAGCAGCTGAGGACCGTGAACTCGTGGGAAAAGGAGATGGTGGCTGTAACAATTTTCGCTACTGTATGCCCTTTACGTTTTATGAACTTACATGTGTGTGTTTATTTGTTGTATAGATACGCCCATTCGCATAAGAGGGAGAATCAGGAAAGAGGTTCCCCCGAGGGGTAGATGGTGCATGAGATGAGTGAAAGGAGAGGGAACCATGTGGGGCATGCTGACTGCGCACCTTCATTGCCAACAAGCGGTCGCCTTGTGAACGCCCAAGTGAATCCAATGTTGTCTGAAAGCAAGCATTATGGCACTAATAACGAAAAAAAACCCAAAGAAACAGAAACAATAAGGGCAAGCATTCACCTCGCAAGGAGTACGGGGGGATGTTGCTGCGTTTCCATTAGTATCTAGTGGCTTTCTTGATCTCCCCCGAAGTGGAAGAATATTTGGACGAGGTCGAGGTGACATATTTTGCCCGTCTATTCCATTTTGTACAACATGTGTGAGTCGAATCTCGTCGACCTCAAATATGAACTTCTTGCAAACTAAATTAATGTAAACAATTTTTAGGGATCGGCCATACTATTCCTGCTATTCCTACGATTCCTGCGATTCCTTCGATTCCTGCGATTCCCGCACAGTTTAGGCCCGCTCAAATGAGCGCATGTTGCGTAAAACAACACGTAACACGCAACACGCGCTCATTTAAGCGGCGCCTAAACTGTGCGGGAATCACAAGAATTGCAGGAATCGTAGGAATAGCAGGAACAGCAGGAATAGTATGGCCGATCCCTTAGAAGAGACACTAATTCCGCAGTGCTATATAAAGGCTGCTGCATGACGAAGACGCAATACTTTTGGGCGTGATCGCGGCTTTATTAGCCGCAGAGCGCATGAGGCGCAGGATTTACAATGGTGAGGATACGTGCGCGCCGCGTTCGCGCCCGCTCAACTAATATACTTGCGCCTTCGTCACGCAGCATCCTTTAATTGAACTACTGTATGCCCAAGGCATACTTAACGCGATTTGGTCAGTCGCTACGCGATCTGGTAATTTACCAGATGCCTTCAAATTCAAAACTAGTAGACCCCAAAAGTATAGCACGTATAACTTTCGTAGGTTGGTAGAATGCGGAGGGCCTGCAGGATCCTCCCGAGCCTCGCACTTCAAAGGAATGCCGCCTTCCAGTTTTGCACGTAGATGACTCGAAGCGCGAAATGACTCGTTCAAACTTGTTCGGAGAAGTATAACACGCACGTGACACTGAGCAAGCCATAGGAGGCTATGAATGCAGCTCAAATGGAAGCACAGGTGAACAAAAGACTTACTCTTTAGGAGAAGCACTAGCTCACAAAGCTGCGGAATAGAAGCAGAGCGATACGAGACAATCTCGAATACGTTTAGGGGCTGTGTAAAATGTGCCAGGTCATTCTATATCTCAAGTTACTTTTTCTCACTAATGTCAGATAATTTATCGTAAGCCTCAAAACAACCCAGACCTATTGTGAGGTATAATCAAAACCTCACTGCTTCGTCATCTTAGAATAACCTGTGTAGAGGACAAACTTTGGAGCATCTTTTACAGTTTGACGTCTGCTCAGGTTACTTCGAGAAGACGAAGCGTATAGACTAGGTCCTATTATTGATAATCATAGTGAATATGCGCTTTATATGTCGAAATACCTTGCGTGAAATCTACCTTCACATAGTTTAATCCAGACGTGTACATCTGGGAGCAGCATCTTATATATAAAGCTGAATGTCTGTCTGTATGTCTGTCTGTATGTCTGTCTGTATGTATGTCTGTACGTATGTGCGGAATAGAAATTTTTATTTCTGAACCGATCGGGACCAAACTTGGCACACATATACTTCGGGGCAGGGAGCGTGTCATAGGCTACTTTTCGTTATCAGAGGTTTTATTTAGGCAAGGTCTACTTGTAAGCAACACTCGAATCTTTTACTAAGCACACAAGCCAAAAGGAACATTGAAAATTCGCAGATCACTTATCTGAGTGATGTGGGACCCAAATATATTACGTAAGAATGACTTTTTGAAACTTTAGGTGACTTGAAATGTCTATTTGATGCATATAGCTTTCCAAGCTTCCAGCTCTTAATCTTGCTATTCGATTCAGCAACATATTCTTCGGGTTCTAATAAACTGTAGCAAGTTCGTAACGGATTGATATAAGACGCTCAATTCTTCTCAGTTTTCACATAGCGAGTACGGAACTCTGTAGCTATTACATGTAAGTACCTTTTTACCGTAAGCTCCGCGATCAACTTCAATGGGTGGTCGCCTACGTGCATAGGAAAGGCGGCAAGCCTTGGGAGGATGATGACACGCCGCCGAAGAATGCCCTATCTTCCGTACTTTCAGAAACCCCTAACGATAAGTTATAACCGATTGGAGTAGTCAAATCGCGTCGCGAGTGAAATCACGTGAGGTACTATGTTCTTGATCATATACTTGTCCGTGAAATCACAAAACCCACGACTAATCTCAAAAAGATAGAATATAAATCGAACCCTAAGCAAGCAAAGTAAGGTTACCTTTGAGACAAGCTTTCCAAAAGACTTCTTTTCTGCTCCCGCTTCCTGTCCGCTGCATCGGCGCGCTTTCTGCACAACGTTGTTTTGTGACATGGACCAGCAAAATTTCTGCATTGATACCTAAAGTCAGAATCACTAAAAGAACGTAGGTCGGATGTAGCATGGTAAACAAATAGATACTGTGGAACCAAGCATACCAAATATTCCTGCTGTGGACCTATCACACTCCCAGGTCGACATATCCGTAACCATGCCATACATTCCGCAGCATTCAAGCCAAATTCCTTCATCATCCAGCAAGCTATCAATGTCCCTGTTCTGCCGAGTCCTGATTGCATGATAAGTTATTCGCAGCATTATGGAGAAGATTATTTTCAAACCAGCTTTGCAGTGCACTGCAACTGCCCCTTTAGAATTGTCAACGACACGAATAAACTTCTCAACAATGTCTTCGGATGGCGTGCTTCCGTCGATGAAGAATAGGTCTACATGCTGGAATCCAGCGTCTGTGAACCTTGAAATAGTGGAGCTTAAGCGCACACTGATCAGAACACTTAACATAGGAGACATTACCAGAGTCAAGAAATATGAAAACAGCAAAGAAACAGCAAAGCACAAACTTTTTGGCATCGTACATCCGCATGTTCAATCGAACAATGGTTGTTATATTCGTGGCTCGAAAATAATCGAAGTATGTTTCTGGCGAGTGATATGGATAACCTAAATGTGCAGCAACAGTCACAAAAAATGAATTATTCTAGAATAAATTAACTCAAAAGTATACCATCTTCTATACGAGATTCATTGTGAGGTCCACAGAAACTCAGTATTTTGCCAGGGATGATCCAGTTCATGTCACCATTTTCAACGCGCTCGTAGAGCTCATACTCTTCCGCATCGAAAGTGTTGATATCAAACCATTTATGGTGGAGACCCTAAATGTTTGGACGATCGAGAAAAGAACGTATGAGGGAGATACTAACCTTTTCAACGGCTCTGAGAACATCATGAAGATGTAGCAGATACGTGGGTTCGCCAAGAGCTGCATCTCGAAAACCAATAAACTTCGGCGGTTGAGCTGCTTCTAAGCGCAAATAAGCGGCATCAGCTGTCACTCCGTGGTAGATGATCTAGAAATGTGGAGTTTCGAAGCAGGTTCAGAGCAGGTCGATAAAAGGAGCTTGGGCAAAGAAAGCTCACCAAGTAGGACGCCATTATGTAAGCGCCATTAACACGATTCCGTTCATCACTATCAGTGTAAACTACAATCTTTCGCTTTCTCTGCGACTGAAACTATATATGATAATGATGACTGAACTGAGAGATAGATGAGCGCATTAATCCAGATGGAAAGATACACTATGAAGGTCTGCATTAGCTAAGAGTCAATAAAAGCCTAATTAGTACTTTTAGAATTATTGATAGCTCAACAAACCTCTGTCAATCCGTGGAGATAACGAGTGAATCTGTACAACACGGAAAGATTTAGGGGACCGAAATCTCCATAGAATGGCTCGTAGTGTACCTAGAAGTTTCATTCAACTATAGTGTGCGAAAGATCATGATCAACAATCGATGACGTACTCCCGCGTCAAGAACAATAATTTCCTGCACATGGCACAGCCCCTTCATCCTTCTTTTTTCTGTTTTTTTAGAGTTACAAAAATTCATTCGAAATATATTTATACGCAATGTATCAAATGAGATCATCAGCGTTCACAAAAACAAAATATCATAACTTATAATAACGGGCTAAGGGTGTTTACGTTTTTTTGTGTGTGTGTGTGCGTGTGTCTGTCTATCCGTTACGAAATTCGTAGAGCGTGTTCCAGCCAACGTCGTAAGCCCAAATTTTGCATAGCGCACGCTACCTGCATGAAAGCTCACCATGCAAAAGCATGAGGGGATCCGTTGAGTGGATCCCTCAGAAATAGCGCGCCAAACGGATCCACTTGGCTTCTGTCAAGCAAAATTAGGTCCGTATCACCACTTTTTGCAAAGTCGTGGATGTGTTTGACAAGCTAATGTGCAAGCCATGGTTAACCCAAAAAATTGAACTAAAGTTGATTAGTTTACGAAAATGGCGCCAAAAAGAATAAGTTGCATAAATGTCCAATTTGCCAAGATTTTACCTGATTGTTTGAGAAGATTTTTGCACAGGGATGTAGTCTACGGTGATTATTGTCGTTATGGCGACTATCAGGCTATAAAAAGTCCAAGAACCAATTTAAATACGCATTAATTCTTTTCGGAAAGTTTTATCCACGCGAAAATACCGATCTCACACAAAAAAGCTCTAGAAATGAGTAGTTGTTTTCCAAATCATTCGTGATACCCTGATGGCTCGGTGAGTTCCACTGTCATTATTATGCGGGAGTGAGGTAGGCATATAAAAAGTAGGGCCAGTGGAGCCTCTGCGAAGCAGAGGTGACGCACTGGTATATTTATAAGTGCATTAGGTAAGCTCGATATAGGCAGAGTGAAGTTATAAATTCAGCCAGCAACTCAGGTGAACTTCCCAACGCACTTAAGTCAAAAAATTCTCACCTTATTGTGTAAGTCGATATATCTCACATGTGGGTCGGATTTATGCGGTGGAACTTCAAATGAGGCAAAATACAATTGCTTTGGAAGCACCTCCACAACATTTCCATGAAGTGAGCCACTTTGAATAAAGCTAGCGGAGTTCGCCACCATTTCGTTCGTTCAAAGTGTCGTCGCCAACAATATAGGACTCATCTAAAAGCTGAGAATTAGTAGCAGTAAAAGCTGAGGAAACTATGAATAGGCACTTAGGCTTCCGTCACATAACCGCTGCCACCGCTGTTACTGCCGGTCAACGTTGAGATCAAGAGTGGATTACCCTTTCTCCATGAGAGTCCTCAGTTCGTTACTGACGGCGGTAACAGCGGTAAGCCTTGCGCTCTGTGTGATAGTGATTAGCAGATACAGTAGCTTTTGTAGGAATGTTAAAACACGATCAGTAATTTAAAAAGAACTGATTCAACAACCAGCGGAACAAGTGTCAGTGTTATGAAAAGGTATTGCTTTTCAAGAAATATGCCTGGAAACTTGTTTTTGGCATGTCTCGAGAAATGATAAATTTTTTGAGATTTTTTACGGAGTGATACAGTTTTACAGTTAAACCAAGAGTAAAATACGTGTTCGACATTAACTTCCCGAATTATGTGAACGTAAAGAATGAAGAGACACCATCTACCGCTTTAGTTATAATTCTTCAGTTATATTGTAGTCCAACTGCACAAACTGTATTTCCGTTACATTTTACTATAGAATGTACCAAAAGAACTAGTGGTGAAAAACTCTTAGTGGAAATATCCTTGAAAGCCAAAATTGGAGTTGACTAACCATGTGGTTTGACGGTCAACCTATGCGCTTGGAGAGAATTAGCGAGGTTAGAAAACCAAAGAGCCAATAGACAGAAAAACAACGACTCTCCAACGAAGCCAAGAGAAGTAGAATAAAAGATGTGCTTATTGCCTGTCTTTCGTTACACTAAGCATCTGAGCTTTCGGAAAAACCAGCTTTTATCAATTCGAGGTCATAGCAGTTGGCGTTGTGCCAGCAACGCTAGTTGTAAACTGGGCGCGACTCGGTGCCATTCGAACAGTCGCAGGTGGCGCAGTGGTTTGTGGAAGAGCGCGTCAAACTCCTGCTCAAAGTTCAAGAATTCGATGGTGTCCTTGTATTTCGTATAGTAGGAATTATTTGAGGCCTTACCACGCCCAAATAACCACAGATTCAAGTCAGACTCGTCATTTTGCTTTCAAGACGTGCCTCTGAGGCTAAAGCCGCCAGCTTCAGTCACAAAACATTAAACACCTTACAAAAGTGAGTGGCTCTCTCAAACAGTACTATGTTATGTGTATCCCATAGGTCCCGTCCATTCCCCACAGTATAACGAGCAGAGCTCCGACGTTTGCCAACGCATGGTGCATCCTCCCAGAATTGTTCCCAAATAAACCATCAACGTGGCTGCCTTTCGATCATTTTTACATACCAACTTCAAAAAAGGGCTTAAAGGCAGTGTCTCACCAAAATTTAGTTGTCGAGATTTTTGCATTTTGCAAGCCTGTCGGACCCTGTCTAGCACTGTATGCGCTTGAAATCGCACGAAGTTCCCAAAAACCCCGTTTTCTGGGGGCCCCGCGGAAGCAACGTGGACGAGTTGTGCCTTACAACTTCAGCCTCAGCCACAGAGGCAGCAACAAAGGGGAGGCGGATGCCAAGTGGAAGGACATGTTCAAACGCGTAAGGGGGGAGACCGAAGGAGACGTCCGCGCGTACCAACTGGCTCTCCGCGTACCACTTTGAGCAAATTTTTCTCAGCGTGGAGGGGGTCAAACTGAGTGGGACTTCTTGCAATGGCCTATTTAGAGGTCCCTATAATAGAATATGTGAAGATCCGCGCGACCTCAACTTTGGTGAGACACTGCCTTTAAATTTGCTGGAGTTAACGTGCTAGAACGATCGAAAGGCAGCCACGTTGATGGTTCATATGGGAACAATTTTGGGGATGCACGATATGCGCGTGGCGGTTTCTAATAGGTAGAGAATACAAAAAACTAGTGCTCTGAAATGGGGATTGAGTAAGTTTTCCAACATGTTCAAATTTCTGCAGGGCGACGCCCGCTATACGCATGAGAATCGTCGGTACATATATTCCACGCAGAATCTGGACATTACCAGCGTGGCTATCTATTCATGCGCAAACTCTACTGCATTCTCTCAGCACCGCAAGCACACTATATTGAGCGGAAACTCCACTTGATTGTAGCCTAAGAGTAGTGGTGTGAACACAGAGGCAGTCTTCGTTACACACCTTTATCGTAGCCAATACTGTGGAAATTCCTAGATATGAGCTTATCAGTAGTAGTGGGAAGCCACCTGCGTGAAGCGGTCTTTTTATGAAGTGCAGGGAGTACCGCAATTTTCTCATTCCTACCTCAACTATGACCTCTTCCCTGCTCACGGTACGACCCTCAAGCCTGGTCGGGCACACTTCACGCTCAACCTGATGATAAGTTCTGGACGATCCGATGGAAACGATGCATTTGCACAATAACGTAGTTTCTGAGTCGCATTTTCAAATGACCGTATGTTTGACTTTCTGAGGATTCAAGAATGGGACACACCCCTCCTCACGACAAGAGAACATAGTTTGGAGCCGAAGAGAAATACAAAAACTTCCCACATTTTGAATAGGTGACAAGAAATAGTAAACACTGAGCAACCCAGCTTGTCAAAATCATAGAGTGCTCTACAGAAGATTCGGAGAATATTTGCGTTGGGGCAAAATATTTCATTTGGGACACTATAGTTGGCAGTATCGACGGTTTATTGGGGACCGACTATACTATTCCAAAAGGTGATTCCTGCGATTCCTGTAATCCCTGCCATTCCTGTGATTCCTCCACCATGTGTCGCACTACAGGGTGCTTTGCGAATTCAGTATACATGGTTTTTTCGCAATGTACATTCTAGTGGGATCCGCAGGAATCACAGGAATTGCAGGAATCACTGGAATCACTGGAATAGTATGACCAGCCCCTTGATGGTGATACTATGATCATGACACTGCTATGACCATTGCCCTTCGAAAGGTACTCATGACTTGCTTTTCGAAGTATTGTGCGAGGAGCGAAGACAGATTTCCAATCAGTGTTCCAACCACCATTTGGTAGTTGGTCACTTAGATTTTGTGTCTCTCGTGTCAATCAACTTTGCTTGCATTTTACTTTTGCTTGATTATATTCAAATCGTCTAGGTGGCTTCCCAGGTATGGAGAAAAGGAGGGGACCGAAGAAGCCAATGACGGATGAAGAAAGAGCTGCATTGGCAAAGAAGCTTGATGATGATCTCGAACAGTTCATAGAGGAAATGGCCGCCAAAAAGGTATTCTAGCTAGAACGAAAAAAAACCGAGTAAAGAACGGGTATGTTGTGACGTACAGGCATCGGAAAAGGTAGAGAAGAAACCTTTTGACTTCGAAGAATGGTGTAAGGACATCGATCAACATCCGGCTTTTATGAAAGATTTGGAGACAGGACTGAAAGGACAATATGCGGACACGATTGAGGCATTGCAGGTTCCGATTCACTGGCTAGATTTGATCTCTTCGTAAGCTTTCAGTTCTACAGGCTTTGAAATATGATGAAGATGATGCTGAGGATAAGCAGCTGAACGCAGAACGTCATAAGAAGGAGGGAAACAAACACTTTGAGTTGAAGAAGTATCGTTGGGCTACTGACTGTTATACAGAAGGTTCCTTTCAAGGTTTGACTTGCTAATCGCAGTGATCTACATTTTTTAGGATTGAAGCAACAATGTTTGGATCGCAAACTGAACTCTACCTTGCATAGTAATCGAGCAGCAGCTCAAAAACGCATAGGGAATTTACGTTCCGCCATCAAAGATTGCGCTATGGCTCGAAAATTTGATCCTACAAATATGAAGGTACATACACAGTCCTCTGAGGATTGTACCTGTGTTTACGAATTACCATCTTGAACTGTCCATGCTTTGGCAGGTGCCAGACTTATGCGGTGCAATCGGTTCATCCAGTTCACCCCATTCGCTGTCGGTTAGTTCATTGATTTGACCAACAGCGATGAGTGAACCGGACGAACCGCTTGCACCAGATAAGTCTGGTACCTCTACCTCTCAAGTTAAAGTTTAGGCTGCTGTTCGAGGTGCTGAATGTTTTCTCGAACTGGGATATGCGAAGCAGTGTATTGAATGGATTGAATTAGCCAAAAAAAGTTTTGCTTTTGTCAAGGAGACTGAAGAAGGGGGTAACCAATTTTAGCTCAAGGAGCAAACTTTACAGAAACCTTTGCTGCTTTCTAGGTGACATCAGCGAAGCGGATCGCAAACAAATTGGTCTTCTAGAAGAGATTAAAGGAAAAGCCGCTCGAGTTGTGGAAATCGAAGAACGAAATAAACGGAAAGCTCGCGCTGATGTACGTAAAAACGCTTATTTTTACATTACTGTTTTTCCATTTAGGAAAGAAAGGATACAGAAGCAAAACGACGTCTGCTCACTGCACTGAGTGAACGTAAGTTGAATTTTCGACCAAGGCTACCGTTCAAAAGGCCAGAACTAATGGACTGGTCGCTTTTGGAAGTAAATCTAGCCCAAGCTCCTGAGGTATACAGCTTTTTCAGCTTTCACGGTTCAGCACACATGTTTTCTTTTTCATATTCTAGCACTACCATGTCTGTTTCAATGACGAGGGACACCTTCAGTGGCCATTTATGATTCAGTATCCCCAAGTAAGTTTCCCCTATATTCTTGCTCGCGTTCTCACAGAAGACTGCGCAATTTGAGGTAGGACAGGTCGATGTCTTGACAGACTGTGATGAAAGAACCGAGATTGGCTCCGTGCTACGACCCATGCTGGAATCTCCCGCTGATTGGGATAAAAATCATGATTACAGGTGACCATCAACGCATTTCTCGACGTGTGCAGGCAATATTTCCTTGCTAAGAGATTTGTCAGTTTCGTTTGTGTTGAGACGATTTTTTCAAGGATAGACAATATTCGCATGTTTGTCTCTGATGAATTCAACGAATACGCTATGGAAGTATTTGAATGGTCAACTTTTGGCTCAGTATTGACTTTGCCTGGTTTCCAAATCGTCCAAGGTTTACCTGTCATCATGGTTAGTTTCTGTGAATATAAGTGCCACCAGCTATAGAATACCAACATCAGATCTACACACGCGACGAGGTGGATCAAAAGTTTACTTCAGTCGAGGATAATAAATTTCTGATAGAATGAAGAAGATCAACTTTCCAGATCTATTGTTGATTTTGATTGTTGAAGTGTACATAGGTACAAGCAAGCTCAATTTTGTTTTTCTACCTATGCGATTATTTTCCTTGCATGTCTTGAATGCATGAAATAGATTTGAACGACTATTTTCAGGAACGATCCCAATTATCGCTCTATCTGCAGTAAACATTAAAATTTCTTTACAAAAGGTATAACAATAAAAGATATAACAATGTGTAACAAATAACAATTAGTTCATCATAAGTGAAGCTTGCCGTTCATGACCATACATCTTCGACATAACGATCGGCCTTATGCATTTCCGAGAGGTAAGCCTTCGTTTCTGCATCTGACTTGCCTTGAAATTGAAACTGTAAAAGAGTGTGAACAGAAACATCGGAATTTAACACACCCATTACTTCCTTGATAATATCATGGAAGCACTGCCATACTCCCTTAGACATTCCTTTTGCATCACCACTTATATACACTCGAGAGGGCACCTCGAAAGAGTTTTCGGAGATGAAGTTGCAGATCTGGAGAGGAGTCTCATTCTTAACACGATCAAAATTTCTCGAATATAGCAGACCTTCTCAGCCCTCTGCTTTAGAGCATCCTGCACATATTTAGGTCGGCCTTGTTGCCCCTCGCTTTCACAAAGTACCAGTTCTGTTAGAACCCCTTCGCGGACATACGACGTCAATTCTTCTCTGAGACATAGTAAAAAAGGGTGATAGACCGATATGTTGAGAAGAAACTCACAGGTACAAAGAATCCCTGTTGAGGTCTCGGCATCCAAAGTACAAAAATCGTGGAACCTTAGGAAAGCTTTCTGGACTGCGTAATTTTTCCTTTCTGAAACAGTTCCGGAGTAATTCAAAGTCAACAGTCTCCACCCTGACTTACAATAAGTATTGACAAAAAGCAAGAAACACTGATACTCCAGTGCCGGGTCCGATCATGAGCAGAGGAATTCGCGCTGCTTCTGAAGATGGTAAGGGAGGAGGTGGTAATCGAAAGCGAGCTGGCTCTTTTTGCATTATCTGAACAGTTATTTGCTAAGGGACCGGACATACTAATCCAGGAGGTGATTTCTGCAATTCCTGTAATTCCTGCAATTCTTGTGATTCTTCGACTTCCGATCAGAGGTGCGATAGGTGGAGCCGGGCCCCCCAAAAGTGAAGGTGGTTCCAGCTACCACTGACCGGCCAAAAGTGAAGGTGGTAGTGTCGGACACTCACCTCCCAAAAACGTCGACGGGGGGGGGGGGGGGGGTAACGTCGACTGAGCCTATCCTTCCAGGTCGTTGCCGCCAGTGCGCGGAATATAAGCAAAACAAACGCAAAAAAGATCACTGAAGGCATATTTTTAGGAACACGGCGGCATATTTATTTAAGAAAAACGTGTTTAGTAAATGGTGTATTTGGAAGTAAAAGATAGCGGGACTGTACGGATTTTATTAAGTAAATTTTGTCATAACGTACTACGAACAAAGTAGGTCGATCCAGGGAATAACCGCCGAGAACCAGAATTTTGAATAATAAAATAACGATAAATTATGCGAAATTTCCATTTTCATAAATCTCGCGGTTGAAGATGTCAGCAATTGCGACTTCATAGGTTTTGAAGGGCAAATGTTGTTCTACCAGACAGTGAGAGAATTAGGTCGATCTGAGCAGTGGCCGCCGAGAACGAGAATTTTGAAAAATTAAGCGATTTTAGGTTACTTAGTGGCAGCTGACGTTTAGACTCCTATAAATCTGGAATGTGAAGGAGTGCAATGTTGCGACTTCATAGGTTTTGTAGAGTAAGGATTGCTGTATCGGACCATGTCTTAGCCGTAACGATCCAATAAGATACCGCCGAGATTCAGGCTCTTGAAAAAACAAGTGAAAAACCGCTTTTTGAAATTCAACAGCGCATAACTTCTCCATCATGTTGCGACTTCATAGGTTGGATTCTCCTCATCAAGAGCTTTCAGATGATATATAATATGTGGGGGTTTTGCGCCTCTCACAGCATATGCCCGGGGGTGGAGACTTTTCACCCTAAAGTCTCCACTGGCGGTCTCCGGCCAGTACATTAAATGGGCGAGGTGGAGACTTTGGGGTGAAAAGTCTCCACCCTGGGTTAGAGCCGCAAAAATCATTGAACCCCCCACATATTACATATCATCTGAAAGCTCTTGATGAGGAGAATCCAACCTATGAAGTCGCAACATGATTCATGCAATTCTGGAGAAGTTATGCGCTGTTGAATTTCAAAAAGCGGTTTTTCACTTGTTTTTTCAAGAGCCTGAATCTCGGCGGTATCTTATTGGATTGTTACGGCTAAGACATGGTCCGATACAGCAATCCTTACTCTACAAAACCTATGAAGTCGCAACATTGCACTCCTTCACATTCCAGATTTATAGGAGTCTAAACGTCAGCTGTCACTAAGTAACCTAAAATCGCTTAATTTTTCACCTATGAAGTCGCAATTGCTGACATCTTCAACCAGCAGATTTATAACAATGGAATCATCGCATGATTTTTCATTATTTTATCATTCGAAATTCTGGTTCTCGGCGGTTATTTCCTGGATCGACTTACTACATAGATATATGCTCCCAATACTTTCTTTTACCTTCCTTTTGCTTATTTTCCTTCTTTTGAGCTTCAACAAAAAAAATTTTTCAAACCCAAAAGTGAAGGTGGTCACCCCCTACCAGCTCAAAAATGAAGGTAGGCGGAGACTCGGCTCCGACTATCGCACCTCTGCTTCCGATGTGCCACACTACGGAGCGCTTTGCCAATTTCAGTATACAAATGTTGCGGGACCCGCAGGAATCGCAGGAATAGTTTGGCCGGTCTCTAAGGTAGAGCATTTCTCTCAATGTCAAGGTAATACCCACTTGTATCGTATCGCCAACTTTCAATGAAAGTAGCCATTCCGTAGCCAATCCCTTGCGAGGATACCTGCATTTTATGATAAATAAACTTGTTTGTGACTTTCATATCATCTATGCGTACAGACCTATGATCGTCAGTATTACCTCACAAGTTCTACAAAATGATGTAAATATGTAGAATCAAGACGTAGTTTTGCGAAATGTACTACTTACCTTCGTCCATTCTTTGCAGGAAAATCCATGACTGAGTAGATAAATCGAACTCGTCGGCCGCGATATGATGACACGCTGTATGAGCGCGGGATTAAACGGGGAAGAAGCTCTAAAAAGAGCTATGTAAAAACTGGAGACCTCTTGATTTTGTAAAACACTGCAATGAAAATGTGCAAGACATACCAATTAATCTATCGGGGAGTGGTTTCACGCTTGGAAATGCAAACAAGATATCAGTCAAGGAGATCCCAGGCTGAAATACTGAGCCTTTTTCGGATAAACAACACCATACCACTCACTTGTCTAACAAAATCGTTAAACTCGTTCAAACCCTGGGCACTGGTAAGCTCTAGCAGTCGACGTTTTTCCTGTTCATTTGAGGCACTTTCCGCCAAAGCTCGAAGTACTGGCTGCGAGAAGTGGTTGATAAATGCATTTCATAAGCACGACTTACTCGTCCAGGTGTTCTTCTGATATCCAGACAGTGCGTAAATAGATGGCGGAGGGAACTCTTCGGTGGAATGTGAGGCGGCAAAACAGGATTGAGCTTCTTCGTGGAGGGCATCAAGGATACGGTGCATAGCTGATCAGCAATAGGAAGAACACCCATCCTAAAGCATGTGCCATGATGTGGCATATCGTTGATATCTACTTGCTACTACCTGTGAAGAACAAAGTTCACTTCTGGTGTGGGATTCGGAAAGACAAAGTAGAATGCGTCACCAGGCTCATAGTGTAGCACATCGAAGTGCGCTAAAAATAATTTGAAAGAAGATGAAATAGAAAAATAACAGACTAGTAACCTCCCAAATCGATAACTAATTCATATTTAGGTTTTTTGACATCGAAGTCCGTCAAAATCGCGGTGCCAGTCACAGTAACATCGTAAGGAGCACTAGCTGAACAAGCGATCTAAATGTGGAAAAGAGAAAAGTTTACGGAACCTCACCAACTCCAACCATTTTAGCTTGGTTCTGCCAAGGAAGTCTATGGTCGAGTTTTAACTTTTCATGGGTTACAGACATGACGAGATACTCTTGTGGAGGTACGGGTACACGTAGAGCAGCATCGCTGGACAGCTTCGAGTTGCCTGGAATAGAAGGATTGTACTGAAAAACCGCGAAATCGAAATGCTTGCCTCTGATCAAGGATACTTCAGGGTAATCGTATGGATCTGCAATCAGCATCGGCTCCGAAGACTCCTCTATGAAACTTTTCGTGACATCAACCATTTCTTCTCTACCCTTCTTTTCTTCTATGGTTGCATCCTTCTTTTCTGCTATGGCAATCTTCGAGGTTAGTCTTGATAATACGCTTTCGCTGAGATCATAACGCTTCAACAGCGCTTGGAATAGCCGTTCTATCCACGGCTCAACTACCCGTTCAAGCCTGAAATCATGCAATCCATCAATTTAGATACTGCAGACTAGTGAAAATTAGCGAGTGATATTTTGAACACTCGTTAATAACGAAGTACTAAGTCACTGTCTGAGCTATTCTAGTTTCTCAACTCAGAAATTCTGTAAAATTTGATACCAAAAAACGTTTCTGTGTAAAAAAAGTGTTAAAAGCAGTTTTACGCTGCTTACTCTATCGCCGTTCTTATAGGTAGTGTTTTTGATACTTATGACATTTGAATATCTCTACATTTTGAGATCATTTCAGAAGAAAAATCTGCAGTTTTCAATGTCATCGTGGTCCACGTGCTTCCCTTATGGCAGTTATAATAGAGTAACTAATGACAAGGCAAGACAAGTAGGCGACTAAGTGTGTCCGACCCCTCTTAAAGGACTGAGACAGAAACATGAATATTGCGTAGTTAATCACCAACCCCTCTTGATCATCGGCATGTCCAGTTTCGACTATCGGAGAGGCACCAAGATCCTTGAATAGTTTGTCAACCTTCTTGGGCACTCCTTGAAATGTGGAGTAATTGGAATCGCCCAAACCTTTGAATATAGGTAAAGATAATCAGAATGGCAGAAACACTAGCAACTCAAAACCGGTAGTGATGTTTCGACTCACCAAGTAAGGCATAGTCCAAATTCTCGAGAAAATTTTTTTCCAAGCTTTTCCTTGACAAACGCCGAACAAAACGAGCAGCATTTTCCGGTGCATCGCCATCACCAGTGGACGAAACGACGACCACCGCAAGCGATTCTCGCTCGATGTGGTACTGCAAGGTACAAATCTAAGGGTAAGTTACCATAGAGATTTGCACCGAAACAGAGCAGTTTTTAACAAAAAAAAGAGGGCTATCTTCCCGCGCATGCACTAAAAAAGTTTCCTCATCTGCGACCAGAAAACGGCAACAGCCTAAATGGCAAGCAGAGAAGTTCATTGGACCTTTCAGGAGAAAACCGACCTGTCGCTCATTTTCATCCAAGGCGTATAAACGTGGCCGAAGTCCAAGCAGTTCAGCACTTTCCTTTATATGTTTAGCGATCGATTCTGCCTGTCCAGTATGCGATCCATAAAGGACGACAAAACCCTCCTCCGACCCCATCTGAAAAGCCGTCGCATCCATTACAGCAAAGAACAAACTCAATCGGAAAGGTGGAAGTTTTGACTACGTTGAGATAGATACAACTACGCTTACCACAGTTACATAGTGTGGTGACGTTCAGATGAGCTTAGGATATGCGCAAATGTATCTACCTATAACAGTTACTTTCAAACTCAAATGTGAATTGTCTTGCGCACGTTATCTAGACAATTATGGAGAGATCTGCCGGAAATAATGTGTTTTAACAACAAGCTCGGCTGATAAAGTTTCCAAAAGCGAGAAAGATGCCAACACCTCGATAAGAAGAGACGATTATTTCAATTGACAATTGAAATTTCGAAGTACTGTACGCAAATACGCGTCAACTAACGAGCATTGCACGTATAGTATGTGCATTTTGGATAGTCAGTGTAGAAATTTTGCTCTTTTAATGGATTCAAGATGTAACGTGGCTTATAGTGGCATGACACGTTGTCCTGTGCATTTAGTTCAATTCAAAATTTTTTTAACCTACCATCACTATTGAAAGTTTGCTTATCGCCTTTTATTCCAGGATTTTCATCGTTCTAGAGAAATAGTTGGATCTGATAGCGTCGTCTTGTTATTCGTTATGAATAAGGTAGGAATCGGTTTTACATATCTGAGAAGGAGATTCAACGGTTGTTTGGGTGGGCTAAAAATGTTTGCAACTTTTCTTGTTCGAAAGCTGCTAAAATTTCAGCCATCACGTTTGGAACAAAAAGCGCAAAGCTGTATCGACAAAGGAGAATATTATGAAGCACATCAGGTGTATCGAACTTTGTATTTTCGAATGACTCAACAGGAGAAGTACGTTGAGCTCCTTGACGTACTTCACTCAGGCTGCAAGAAAATGGCTGAAGGTAGCGTAAGCAGCTTCTTTTGTGGAAAAGTGATGTACTATTCTTCACCTTCTCAATTTACAGTAAATCAGTTCCTCGGCTCCATCGATTTAGCAGAATTATATGCGGAAACACTGATGAAGGGAAAAATTGAAGCCTCTGAAAAGATTCTCGACCAAATCGCTGAGGTCTGTATGTCTTTATAGTCATTTTTATCTCATTCTATTAACATAGTTATAGATGATCGAGCAATTTCTTAATCCATCATTCCGTTTACCCAGCCCAGATGCACACACCAAGTTTATCAGTACCTGTGTTAAGTGGTGAGCTGTTCAGTCTATGTTCGGCTGGGTTCATACTGATCTGTAAGTTCTGGAACACTTCCAGCGCAGCGCTCGAATTGGGCGCTGTGCTGGAACTGTTTCGGAACTTACGCATCAATGTGAATTCAGCCTTCGAATGTATAACCGCCATCTGTAGTTGCACACCCTAGTGTCACTTGCTACAAACGAACGCATAGATAGAAATGTGCAAACTCGACTCGTTTTTACTGTAAATAGTCAAAACAATTTTTTTTGAATTTTGAACTGAGTTTGTGGAAAAAATGTTCCAGGGAGGTGGCTTCTGCCACTCCCTCTTTTTTCAAAATGACGAGGCTATAGGCCTCAAAATGGAAAGGCCTCCCAAAATTTCTTTCTTACATGGCCGGAGTCACGCTCCTTCACTAATTGTCGCCCCTCGGGAAAAATTTCTTGGATCGCCATTGGCATCAAACTATTCATATCCTTCGATTATTATGAAAATAGCGGCTGCAAGGCGGCCGCTAGCACCCGCGACGCAGTCTGGTCTCTCTCACGAGCGTGCTCTCTGATCATTCCATAGTCTTGATTAGGCTCGAGGCCCTGCCTTCCAAATGGGAATATAACCAGCTTTTCTTCCCGTATCTTCGCTGCTTATCCCTTTCCTGTGCTTATTTTTGTGCCTCAGTTCACCGGAAGATCAATATTGTTGTCGCTTCAACTGAGTGATTCTTTTATACAGCTTGCTGGTATATATTGCTTATTTTTCATAAGAAATTCGCACTCGTCCTTTAGAAGAATGCTGAAGTTATGTGCGTCCTTTACTCTTTTGGTTCCTCTTTCCAACTAGTTTCTCACCTTCTTCGTATGACATGCGCACGGTGGGCTTTTTCTGCGCAAAAAATAAGAAGATTGGCCATTTTTGTTGTTGACCTCAGTATTGGCTTCACAATTGACTAAAAAAGCGAATTTGAGGTCGCAATCGGTGGCCAAGAAACGTCGCGAAAGGAAGCATGGTCTCAGTGATTTGCATTACGTGATCGCCAAAGCATATATCAACCACGGTAACTATGCAAATGCACGAAATCACATGCTTTTTGCAGATCGGCCAGAAGTAATCTCGTATGTATGTAATTTTGAGGAAGCATGACGTTTTTTATAGGAGTTCGCAAGCGTACTGAAGCGAATGTCTGAGGAAAGTGGGTGCAAGACGTCAGAGTCGGAACTCTTCTGTGCGATGTCCGTCTTTCAAGTGAGTTTTCCAGTATAGTTTTCAGTTTACTTCGTTTTGCTAAAATTCCTTTGATACATCTTCAATAAACGCCACTGCTTGCAGCGCACGAGGCGCCCGCGGTACACCCGCGCTGGCCTGAAGCAAAAGATTTTGAGGTAGTAAAGTTCATCTGACAGATAATGACAAACAACACTGAAGTTTCAGTATTTTTCTATACATATACACTATCCGGTTTCGGTGCTAAAAGGAGTCATTTTGTAGATTCACGGCGCAAGACACGATAAGACATTCACATCATTCTGAAGCGAGTTATCAATTTTCCTCTATACAAAATATGCTTAATCTTTGGCCTACTGGCATTGCGGTATCATCATTCAAGTGCTGATTGACTGCATTGAGTTCCATGTCAATGACGAAAGACTCAATCTGATATTATTTTGGTATCCCAGCACGTTTTAAGGCAGATTTCCATTTACAGGCAACTTCCTCATGTTAAATAATGTGCCGGTTTCGTGCAGAAAAAAGGTCATAACTCGCTTCATAGTAATGCACTGCAGCTAAGGACAGTATGTTTGGAATCAGCGTTCGAAGCTGATTCCAAATATATGCGTCTCATCTCAGAACGCGAGTCTAATTCATCTGACTTCCTAAGAACTATAGTGGTAGTTCTTGCACCCTTCTTACCAACTGTGTACCTCATCAGTAGTTCCCAAGAAAGGTACAATAATTAACAAAATAGAGAAATTTGGGTATAGTTACGAAAACTTATAAGAGAAAGTGAATGAAACTGCAAAGTTTTGCTCACCAATACGTAAGCAGCAGGATAATTGGAGATACAGGGTGTTTGAAAAGTTCGTGTCCTTAAGCACATCAACTGCGACTGCTAACTCGATTTTTGCTATGCGTGTTCGCCAAAACTAGAAACCACTGAATCAACAAAGAAAAATATTTTTTGCCTCAAGATACCCTAAAAAATTTCGAAGTAGACATTTTTTTCAGCTTCCTTGGAGAGTGCGTTATCTGATTGGTTCTTTTTTTCAACCCCGAAAAAGAAAAACAGCTTTTGATTTTTTTACTACAAATAGTCCTAGAGTTACACTTTCTTCGTATAACAAAAGTTCTTCAGTAGCTTGCTAACGAAGATTTTTTCATGTGCTGAATCACAGCAGACAGTCGCGGCACCAGTTTGCGTTGAAATTTTTTTAGTTTAAAAAAATTTGGAGGTCTTATTTTAACATGTATTTGTATTTGAAAACAAGCACAATTCTCTGGCCTTCGTTGTACTTATTTTCAAAAATTTTGCACGCTTGTGAAGGTCTTAAAGATAAAGTAAAAAAAATTTCGGTGCTGTGCTTTGTTGATGAAAAAATCCTGAAACTCGATCTCTTTATTTCAAGGCACGGTATTTCAAAAACGATCTAACTTCTACGAAAATCAAAATCACATGTAAGAAACCTTAATGAAAGAGCTTTCAGAATGTACACCTAGTTTTCTGTGAATCATGTTTCCTTCTTTGTAACAAGCGTTTCAAGGAAAGTGGTTTGGAAAGCTATATTGATGTGTTTCAATCTAATTTAAAAAAACTAAAAAACCAAAAGGAAAGCTGGTTTTACTGAATTAATGGTTTCTAGGCCTAATGAGCACAATAGAACAAAAAGCGCGTCAAAATTTAAACTGGAAATACTTGAGGACACGAACTTTTCAAACACCCTGTATGTGCGAACAAATTGCTACAAGCATATGCTGATGCCGGCTGGTACCGGACTGCCGACTTATACTGGTTTCTTTAAGTTTCATCAGATTGGTCATAATTCATTCCGGACCCAGCTAGTCTCTTTTTCGTGTTGCTCTGTTCTACGTCGTCATGATCCTCCCAAGGCGATCTTTTAGAGGCCAAAATTGTGACGAATTCAGCATTTTTATGCATAAACTTGGGTTGATTTTGGCGTGATCATACAAAAAAAGACTTGTACATATGTGGACATTTTCTATAAAAATTTTAGTCAGATTAGATTGTAGTTAATGTCATACACTCCGCGAAAACGACACAAGTGACAAAAACTTGACTCACTGATCACAACGCTTATTCCTAAGCAATCTAATGGAAGAGACACGAAAAGCATGTTTTTGGAGCACACAAGAAGTGAGTCTTGGCTGAAATAAAAGTAAAAGAAAATTTTTCTCTAAAATTTTGTTTTGGGTTGAGGCAACGCAATGCACAACAATGACAAATTTGTCAAAGTTTTCCGACTATGAAGATTGCATGCGGACCATCACTAAGTAAGAGTACTAGGTCCGAATTGAGTGACAATTTTGATGAATCATAAACGAAACACTATAAACCGGCGCTACCTACGGTGGCACCGGCGTAATGGCCAGCGCAGCTACAGCGGCGTAGTTTGAAGAAATCCACATGTTATGATATCCATAACTATTTATAAGTAACTAAATGCAGTCTCAACTCTTTTGATTTTTTTGTCGAGGACCATAAGTTGATGTTTATAACGTACAACCTCATAATCGAACACCGCCTCTCATCGATGTCAGTTTTAAATAACTCGAAATATACATTCCAGCTTCTGGCTATGCATCGAGTGCAGACGTCTTCCAAACTGCTAGCTGCTTATATGTCGTCGCTGGACACTACAGCACAGAGCACGGACTCTCGACATGAAATTTTGAATTTTTTACGCTTACTCTGCAACGCCCTCACCTTGCACGATGTAGGAGTATTCCAGTTTCGCTAATCTCGCCAATACGAGTGTTCAGGAAAATCTTTTCGACCATATAGTTGGGGTTTATAGACCTCACCTAGATAGTGATCCAAGTTACTACAGTTATATCGATAGGATTGGGCACATATTTTTTGGTCGCCCTGTTTCTAGAAAAAATGATCCCTTTGGAGGACTGTTTGGCAACATTTTGAAAGGTGAGAAATTGGTTCACTCGAGCGTGTAATGGCTGTTTCTAGTCTAATTATTCATATTGCAGGAGTATTGGGTGAGAGGAAAGAAGAAGAAGATGATATATTTTCTGATTCTGATTTTGAACCAAATGCCACAGGTGGAGCAAGATCCGAGGTAATACAATATTCTTTGGAAGGTTGCGGAAAGTATCTCAATGGACTCTAACATTACGCATTCTTCTTATTGTTCATGTTCCAGGAAGATGCATATGAGACCGCCGAAGAATCTGACATCGCAGATACACCACAGAAGGAAACTCCGAAACGGCTAGCTGTTGACAATTTCGATGATCTTGATTGAATTGCTGTTATTCTATCTACAAATAACAATGATAATAATCCTATTAATGAAAAAGGAATGATTTACTCCCTTACAACTACAGTGCTGTTGAAGGCAGAACCTAGGGAAATCTGGACCCATAAGCTTACATGGGAACTAGTCAGGATGCCTCAACTCACAAAGAAAGTCTTTGTAGTCGAAGTGGCCTTTCCAGACGACTCCTAGACCACTTCTGAGAACATTGAACGATGATTCTAACACTGTCTTCGTTACTGTCAAACGCCTCTGGACGCCGAGTTATGAGCGTTTTTTGGGTTAGAATATTAAACGCGCTACTGAAACAAAATCGTCCAAAATTTTCTAATTGTCCAGTACTACCTATTAAAGCACTGCATTCAACACATTAACGACGAGCCATTTTTTAGTGTTTGTCCTGGTGGACGAGCCGTTTTCCTGCATTTTTACGCCTGGCTGCATGTATGTAAGCATGCATCTATGGAGAAGAGAAGAGTTACAAGTGGACGGAGCTTGCCACCGAGGGGCGGAGGCGAGGTTGAAGTCGCTTGAGGTTTCGCGGTCATTTGTGGCAACGGCATAGTGATCGCGATTTCGTCGTCGTGATTTCATCGCTGCGACGAAGCGAGAAGACGAAATCGTCCGTCGCGCGTGCACGGGCATAGTGCTCGCGATTTCATATCTTTGCACACACAGGGCAGATGCACGCAAACTGAGCAGACTGTTCTCGTGCGATATGCGTTATTCCACTCACTTCACTCTTAGCATAGAGACCTCATGCCGATCGTGATAAAATCGAGTACAAAGAATTCTCACATTTTGCTCACCTTTCAACAAGTCCACTTCTCACGAGGTTGCCAATCCTTAGCATAGTGAATCTCACCTGGGAACGTTGGCCTCTGCGAACCAACAACTACTATTAAGACACCTTTCACCAAATTTATAGGGGAAAAATTATCTCGTCAAAGCTAGTACGTGTATTTTGTAGTGCTTTAGCAAAGACCCACATCAAACGCCTTCTTAAAACCTGAAGGACAGCATCACTGCGAAGATAGCGAAAACAAGCGTAACCGTTTGGTGTTGGTGCACTAATAAGGACGAGAATTCTCTTGTATTCATAAAGATAGCGAAACGTTAGAATATGCAAACAAACAAAGCGATAATGTGTATTTACTTTGCGAAAGGCCAGACTCCAACACAATAATCATCCGGAAAACACTTCAAAAAATTATCTCGTCAAAAATTATTTATGGTAGGAGAAGGCGTCGAAACTAGAAGTATCTTTGTACAACTACTTCAAACAAGTTTCATCTCTTTTTTGAACAAAATTAAGCGAAACATCAACGCGTGTCTATAAAAAATTCTCATGATTCCTCTCGCACCTCAGCGATATCGCCCAATCGCCAATGCAGCGCGCGCGACGCGACATCACTGGGTTGCCGAAATCGCGGCGATTATCGCTGACAAGTATGCCCTAGCCAAAAAGGGTGTGCGATCCGTCGCGCCGGACGACTACTACAACTGTTGCAGCAGGCACGAGGGCATGCAGTTAGTGCGTAACACTTGTCGTTTCATAGAAATAGCAGCGCGACGGAATCGTGACCACTATGCCCTAGGCCTATGGCCTCTTCCTCTCGTAGAAGACAATGGAGTGGGCGGAGTCTGCCAAAAGAGGGGCTGGCTAACATGAAGTACACGTTCTCATCAACAATCTCATCGCAACATCACTTTTTGAAGCTGCAGAGTAATGTATCTCCATACGAAACCTATTTATGCTTTTATTCATCACAACAACATCCTCAAGAACAGACAAACGATAACAAAGAGCAATGGTCAGTAACCTTCAAAAAAAAAAACTCAGATTAATTGTGTGCAGGTCTAATTGTGGTTGATCCTTTCGGATGGCATTATCTGCAGACAAGGCAAAGAAGCGTAGTCATCAATAGTCTAACTAATTACTTGGTTAAACAAAGCTTTATCTCGTGGTCGATGATAGAGTCTAAATCTTGCAAATGCTTTAGTTCTCTTTGTATTAGATTGTCCGGAAAATAATGTCGCATCGTGTTTTATCATGCATCGCAGCAGGGTGCGATTAACACGTTGACGACGAGCCATTTCTTGAAGGTCTGTCCCTGTGGACGAACCGTTTCCCGGCACTTTCACAGCTGGCTGCATGTATGTATGCATGCATCTATGCGTGAGATACAAAAATGCAGGTGGGCGGGGCGGCTCCGCCCACTTTTTGCAAGCCCCGCCCACTTTTCAAAAATGCTGGAAATCGCCCAAAATCAATGAATCCGTGCAAATTCCGGCACTTTGGAAAAGTGGGCGGGGCTTGCCACTCAGGGGGCGGAGCTTGCCTGAATGTGTGCGGGCCTGGCTGAAATTTGTTTGAGGTCTTTGCGTTCATTTACGGCCTTATCCATGCTTTTTATGAACAAAAATGGCTCTTGTGGGAGGCATAGGAGTGGGCGGAGTTTGCCAAAAGGGGCGGAGCTAATACATGAAGTATATCCGAGCCTATGTTGATTATATGAACAAAAAGTGAGAGGATTGGACAGATAGTATTGAAATTAAGGCCGCCGCGCACCATTGCGCGGCGTCGTCCACAGGGACAGACTGCCTGCCGCGCACCATTGCGCGGCACTGTCGTCAACGTTAAGTAAGTGGGGCATCAGCCGATAGATCAGAGCAAACTCTACAAAACGAAGCTCGAACCTTCGCGCCAGGTTTGATTTGCCTGAAGTTTGGAGCCAAATTTCATAAGGCACTCAAGATTCAAAGAAACGAGAAAAATCGTATCTTCGTTCAGAAAAGTCCTGGGAACCCCTAACTTGCTCACGCATAGACTCGCTCGAGACACTCGTATGCACATTTTCGCGATTCTTCCATGGCTGAAAATTGAGAAAACGAAATTCAGCATATTTTTGCCAAAGCAATCTCGTGCTTCTCTCACATGGATGATTCTGTAGTAGGAACCTTTGGAAGCATAACTATGAATTTTCAGCTTTAGACAAGCCCTAGTTTTCGAGAAAAAATCAAATTGTTTGCAAAAAACGCGAAAAACGCGACATATTCGCACTTTTGACCTATTTTTGTTTGACGTACTGTAGCCATGGAAAATTACCACAAACAATACAGGTGAATATCTAGTATGGAGAGTACATGCCTGTGCAAATTGGAGATCTCCAAGACGTCTATGAATGGAGATACGATCTCTCGGGTATCTGAAATTTTGTATATCTTGAATTCAAACTTCAGGTGGAGCAAGATTTCAACGGAAATGTGTAAATTACCTTGTAGAGCTTGCTTTGCTCTATCAAATGATACCCCTTTTCGCTGTTTTTTGTGGTCATTCGTCGCGGTAGAATGCCATGCGACATTTCCGGACAACCTATTATTAGGTTGTCCCGAAAGTCCTGTCGTTTCATTTTTGAAAATTTGTAACTTTGCGGTATCTCAATAAATTTGCATCCTTGTAATTATATTTGAAAGAGTAAGTCTTTCGCTTTCGAACACTTTTCTTTCTAGCTTCTAATACACGCTGACTGCAGAGATAAAAATGGAAAAGGAAGACCATGTAAGCTTTTATCATTTCAAATTAGGTGGCCAAAACCATGTATGCTGCGCAAAATTCTGAAAACGTAAGTATCATCGGCTCCCAGATTCGTGTGGAGGTGGAGTCTTGCCAACTCACCGCGTAGCGGTTTTTGCTAGCGAGAGATTACGAAAAGCAATGCTATGACGTGGAGGTTTAGCAAGTTTACATGTATTATCAGGCAAAGTCTGCAATACACCTCCACACGAATCTGGGAGCCGAACATACCGTCTGCGCCCCAGAGAGGTTCCCATGTGAACCAGCGTGCGTACGTGATGCGACGCTGCCTTTCGCTCTTTTTGACACGTTTCTCTTGAGGTTTCAACGGAAGTGCCCGAGGTTAACACGTTCAAAAGTGCGAAAGGCAGCGAGATGACGTGGTACCTATGGGAACCTCTCCGGGGCGCAGACGATACATAGGTTTTTGACCTGTTCTATGCGACAGTGAAAAGTTTGTGCTGTTTGAATGCGTCTGTAGAAAGTTACGATTTTCGACTTTACTACAGAAAATGCCAAAACTAATCAATATGTCACTATTCTACTACAGAAAATGCCAAAACTAATCAATATGTCACTATTCTACTACAGAAAATGCCAAAACTAATCAATATGTCACTATTCTCGAAGATCACAACTTTTTACAGACGCATTCAAACAGCACAATTTCACAGTTGTAAAGAGCAAGTCAGAAAACCTATGTGCTTACGTTTTCAGAATTTTTCGCAGCGGTACATGTTTTTGGCCACCTAACTTAAAATGATAAAAGTTTATATGGTCTTCTTTTTCCATTTTTATCTCTGCAGTCAGTGCGTATTAGAAGCTAAGAAGAAAAGTGTTTGGAAGCGAAAGACTTACTTTTCAAATATAAGTACAAGGATGCAAATCCGTTGCTTTCAAGGTTACAAATTTTTGAAAATGAAACGACGGAACTTTCGGGACAACCTAATATTATTCCAAACAAAACTGGCAATTGTGTTAAACAACCTGCAGTGAATTTGAAAGATACCTTAATCGATCCCTACTCACAATAAATAAATTGTTCATGCCATTCAAGTGTTTTGCAGAATAGGAAGAGGAAAACCGAAGATTATGAAATCGTGATAATAAATTTCGCTTATTTTCATAAGCATTTCCTGATCGGATAGTATCAATTCCCTTACAAGAGACACTTCTTTGGAGCCATGAGTCGAATGTAATGTTGATCCTTCTAAAACAGAACATTCGACACGTTCATCACCTCGTTATGCTCCACGCAACTCACTCAAAAGCTCTTCCTCAATTATTCCGCGCTCGAAATTCGAGATTCCAGATTGCTCGAACAGTTTATTAAATTGCGAGGCTATTTTTACAACACCATCGTTATCACTCTCGTATTTTATTATGGTGTAACTGCCAAGATGATTTTTGAAGTCGCAGTACCTGAACCGATTTTGTAGTAGAACGTCCCAGAAGTTAATTCTTGTTCTAAGTAAATCAAGCTCTTTTAGTTTTTCTGGCAGACATGGGCACCACTCGAGAGAAGCAAGCTGTACAAATTGATTGCCAAAGATTAGCCTAAATCATGATCCAGATAAAATTTGAAGCCAAACTCGGAGAAATTTCATCACTTGGAAACTAGGTCTTATGCGAAAAAAATCCTATGCACCTCCATCTTGGTCATTTTAGTACTCATGCTTCATGATTTTTCCGTGCATGGAAAGCTAGTACAAATTGGCAAACTCCGCCCAGTATAAACTCAAACTTTTACCTTTGTATGTGGCTTGCTATTCAAGAAATTCCAATGAAACATTAAAAAAAGCGAAAAAAGCGACATTCTTGCATTTTCAATTTTTATTTCTAATTTCGAAACCCGGAGAAAATCCAGTAAATGCATTCTGCATTCTGTAGTATGTGTCTACTACATAATGACCAAGTTGGGGGTCCGTACGAATTTTGAGGAGTTCCGATTTTTAGTTCAAAAAACTTTTGTCTTTGGCTCCAAATTTTACCTGTTTATTAGACTTTGGCCAAATACAGAAGAGATCGTCATTGAAGTGATACTGATGTTAGCAATAATCCTGTATTCAAAATGTCAAATGTCAGATAGACTCGTTGTGCAGGATACTAGCACACGGTGTTTTGGCCTACTATCCTATAAGAAGCATAACAAAAAAATCCTAAAAGCATAGGAGCATCGCTTTCGTAATAAAATGTCAAATAACCCATGTGGGCCATGTTTCAGGGAATTCTGTGGTTTCCAAAAATTGGGCCACCCAATGAAAGGTCATTTTCGAACATGTTATTTATTAGAGATGAGTTGACAACTTTTTTTGCACTTAATGAACAGTACTACTATTCTTTTGCTCACATTAAAAAACCCACTCCAAACTACGGAATCAAGAGCAAGCCAAAATCGCTTTTGTTCCATTTTTCGCAGGTCTCAGACTAGGGAAGACCAAACAGTCTCAGATCATCTTTGTGAAATTAAGTTTAGGCTATCGAATACATTTATCCTTGCCGCCTTCCCTCATGATTTATGTAGTAGTGCAGACTTAATATTTGATTCAACTGGCTTGGCTTCGGGAAGGCGGGGCTTTGTAACGTAATTGAGGCCGCTCGCACTCGCAACGCACCTGCGTCTCTCTCGCGCTAGTGCTCTGATCACTAGCTAGCCTTAATTATGTGACGGAGCTCGTATTCTCGAAGCCAAGACGTTGAATCAAATGTTAGCTTTGTTATCGTCCCAGTATTTTCGCATCGTCCCAGTATTTTCGCAATATTTTCCGTTTGCATAGGTAAGGAAAAGCGAATATATCTCCTTTAGGAGGAACGATTTTGAATGAACCCCTTTCGTGGAGAAGAAGGTTTAGCAGTGGCAACGATATAAAAAAAAACAGATATTTTGACACACTGACAACAACGCGTATTTTTAGTTGCCTGCTTTGTGGGACAATGCCTTCCTCGAAAAAGTTGAGAATTTTCAGCCAAAATTACGCGAATCGTATTCTACAGTGAATCTACGGTAATTCTAAGAAGCAGAAAAGAGTATGTTGTGACTAACATATGGGTTTTAAGCTGTTGTTTTCTTTACAACCTTCGTATATGCATTCTTTTGTATTTGATGTTCTTTGTTTGTTGTGTGAGACATGGGATCTCCCCATGTAATAATTATAATAATAATAAAAGAAATGCGGAAGTAATCACCAGGGTCAAGCGTGAGGTGTGGCACGCCACACCTGGGGGTCGTATTGAGGACTCAAAAAGGGAGGGGGTCGTAGTTGGGTAATCTGATAATAGTGATAACATGATATTCGTATCCTATCCATAATTAGCATGTCAAATAACCCCTGTAGACAAAGTGTGAGCGAATTCTGAAGATTCAAGATACTAGGCTACCTAAGTGAAATGGTCAAATTCCAACATGGTTAACTTTGTTTCAAAGGTGAACTAGCTGTCCGTTTTTACATTCAAGACAAAGCACTACTCCTTCTTTGTCCACCTCAGGAATCCCGCTTCAGAAGACCTCCAAACTGTGGAATTAGAAGCCAGCCAATCGTTTTTCCCATTTTTCGCTTTTGATCGCTGTGCTTTCACCAACTATTACTCAGAGCTAAGAAAATGAATCAGGCTCAAATCACTCCTGTGAAAACTAGGAGATCTAGGCTATCGATCCATATAAACATAGTTTGCTAAAAATGTTTTTATGACATAGTTAATGGGGTGCGGCACACCCCCTTAAAAGCTGCGGCCGCCGCAGCTTTTGAGGGGGTGTGCCGCACCCCCTTAACTATATCAAAAAACAATTTTAGCGGACATTATTTATATGAATCGATAGGCTAAACCTTGTAGATTCCATAGGACTGTTTGGAGCCTGATTCATTTTCTTAGCTCTGAGTAATAGTTGGTGAAAGCACAGCGATCAAAAGCGAAAAATGGGAAAAACGAGATTTTGGTTGGCTTCTAATTCCACAGTTTGGAGGTCTTCTGAAGCAAGATTCCTGAGGTGGACAAAGAAGGAGTAGTGCTTTGTCTTGAATGTAAAAACGGACAGCTAATTCACCTTTGAAACAAAGTTAACTATGTTGGAATTTGACCATTTCACTTAGGTAGCCTAGTATCTTGAATCTTCAGAATTCGCTCACACTTTGTCTACAGGGGTTATTTGACATGCTAATTATGGATATGTTGCCCTTTATGTTTGACAGGGCCTTCAAGTAATGCTATCTTAAATGTATAGTTTTGGGGGGGGGTCTTATTAAGACGGCAATCAGGGGGGGGGGGTCGTAACCAGCAATCGTGTGCCACACCCCTTGCTTAACCCTGGTAATCACTAGAATCAGAGCCTAAGAGAATTTCTGACACGAATGTACATCAAGATAGTCGTCATTCGATGAAAGTTAATCCATGACACATTGTGTCATGGATTAACTTTGTTCACATTGTCCCACGTGGCAGTCACTGCATGAGGGTCACGTTGTCGTCAAGGTGTTAATACTCTGAAGGTAAGTTAATGAGCTGTGGTACAATCCCTAAAAGGTGTGGCTGCCACCGTTTCTCTGGGGTTGTGCCACACTCCATTAATTTACTTTCGAATAGAGCTTTGGCGAACAAAATATATACAGTTCGATAACCAAATCCTCGTAGTCTCTATATTAGTGATAAGAGCTGAATTCTCTTTTTTTCGTTTAAGCAATAGTTGGTGGAAGCACAGCCATTGCAAGCGAAATATGGGACAAATGATTTGGCTGGCTCCCAATTCCATAGTTCGATCGATGGTTACTTGACACTTTGTGGTATGGGCGGGTAGGGAGTAGCGATCTGTTTTGAGTACAGAAAGAGGTAGTCCAAAGTTATCCCAGGTAAACCGTAACAACCAAATTCCCAGTTTTGGTCAGAAATGTGATTACACCGTCAAAAAGCTGAAAACACTTGTAAAATGTTGTGTACAGTTGTGACAGTGGAATGTGAAAAATTTCGGCGAATTCGCCGAATTCGCCGATGTCGCCGATGTCCCTGACTTTGCGTCTTTTCGTCATAACTCCCTTCGTTCTCAATGGATTTCAAATTTGAAGGCAGATTTGGATTCAGCTTGCCGAGACGAATCTTTTCATATATTGAACTGCTGTAATCGGCTCGGTCACGGTAATTGCATGGTAGGAATCCGTTGCATCCTGTGGTGGTGTTTTCTAGAGTGTGTATTTCGGCGCATAGTGTAGGCAAAGGTTTAAGAAAAGAGCGTTTGATGGAAGAGTTTCTGCTGAGTGTTTCCAGCAGAAAACCATATCCTTTTTTCTAGTGGAAAAAGAGAAAGGAGTACGTGAACTTAGTATATATATATGAACCACTTACCGTCAAACAAACATAACTGTACAGTAACACTATGATTAGCAAAACAATTATAATCTTTGTAATCAGCATGTCTTGTTGCTTGTGTGAGCAAAGTGACACACCGCATGACTATGATATCCTGCTTCCAGCAAAACTTCACTTTTTTCTGCAGACGCCTCTTTGCAACGCTGTGGGCCAGCCCCTTTCACACTTAAAAGATTCCGGTAAGGCGAATCGGAAAGAGTTGTTTCCGTGGATAATCCAGCGGTAAAAAGTAGAGGGATACATGCTTTATAATGCGCGAAAAGAGATGGTGAATTCTGCAAAAATCACGCGCCTTTAAATTCTACTCGCCATAACTTCCTTCGGAATAAGTATATTCTGAATCCGAAAACGGTGCTGTGCTCAGCTCATCAAGGCGAATCTTTATTATACAGCATGTTCTTGATATCTCGATTTCAGTATTCTTGAATTTTTCTGCGGACGTTTCTTCTCGAAGGTGTAAAGCAGCGAGCATTGTCCCGAGTAGATTCCAGCAGGGACCTTTTGATAGTACTTTTTCTGTAGATTATGATGCGCTAAACAGTAGCGGCAATTTTCTTTTCAAAGGAAAAAGATGGGCTGGTGAATTGTGGAAAAATCTTGTCGTCCCAAACTCTACTCGCCATAGCCATAGAATATGATGCTTTCTTGCTAAGCAGACGTGATTATCGTAATCAGCAGGTCGGATAACCACTATGAGCAAGTTTTCCGATATGTTCGGGTTTTTTCATTTTTTCTCGTTTTACGCTCTGGAAGCTCGCCGACGGATTTTGGTCAAAATGTTGATGCTCTTGAATTGTAAGTTTACTTAGCTCATAGAGGTTTTCGAACATGCTCTTTACGAAACTCATGGTCTCTGAGGATTACAGGGTCTTTTTGGTGAGATACGGTGAGGTGACTGTAAGTGCATCACGAAAGTGCGTAACTTTGCCCGCACTTCTCGCGTATCTGTCAGCAACCTTGCCTGCTTGCTTTTCCCAGTCAAAATTACTAGGAACCGTGCTACCGAATGGTGCATGAGTCAGGCTCCAGTCTATAGAATTCGCCGAGTTACAAGCCTACGAAAACACGTCCTCATGAAATTTGCACAAAATGTAAAGATCGCGTACTTTGTTGAAATTCCATCGTGAGCGGTTGCATGACTAATTGCAAATGCTATGTTCACCCCGCCCGCGTTTTATACAACCACTCACGATGGAATTTCAACAAAGTACGCGATCTTTACATTTTGTGCAAATTTCATGAGGACGTATTTTCGTAGGCTTGTAACTCGGCGAATTTTATAGACTGGAGCCTGATTTATGCACCATTCGATAGCTCAGTTCCTAGTCACTTTGACTTAGAAAAGCAAGCAAGCAAGGTTTCTGAGAGATACGCGAGAAGTGCGGGCAAAGTTACGCACTTTCGTGGTGCAGTTACAGTTACCTCGACGTATCTCTCCAAAAAGACCCTGTAATCCTCAGAGACCATGAGTTTCGTAAAGAGCGTGTTCGAAAACCTCTATAAGCGAAGTTTCCTTACAATTCAAGAGCATCAACATTTTGACCAAAATCCGTCGGCGAGCTTCCAGAGCGTAAAACGAGAAAAAATGAAATAACCCGAAAATCTCGGAAAACTTGCTCATAGTGGTTATCCGACCTGCTGATTAGATAATCACATCTGCTTAGCAAAAAAGCATCATATTCTATGGCTATGGCGAGTAGAGTTTGGGACGACAAGATTTTTCCACAATTCACCAGCCCATCTTTTTCCTTTGAAAAGAAAATTGCCGCTACTGTTTAGCGCATCATAATCTACAGAAAAAGTACTATCAAAAGGTCTCTGCTGGAATCTACTCGGGACGATGCTCGCTGCTTTACACCTTCGAGAAGAAACGTCCGCAGAAAGATTCAAGAATACTGAAATCGAGATATCAAGGACATGCTGTATACCAAAAGATTCGCCTTGATGAGCTGAGCACAGCACCGTTTTCGGATTCAGAATATACTTATTCCGAAGGAAGTTATGGCGAGTAGAATTTAAAGGCGCGTGATTTTTGCAGAATTCACCATCTCTTTTCGCGCTTTATAAAGCATGTCTCCCTCTACTTTTCACCGCTGGATTATCCACGGAAACAACTCTTTGCGATTCGCTTTACCGGAATCTTTTAAGTGTGAAAGGGGCTGGCCCACAGCGTTGCAAAGAGGCGTCTGCAGAAAAAAGTGAAGTTTTGCTGGAAGCAGAATATCATAGTCATGCGGTGTGTCACTTTACTCACATAAGCAACAAGACATGCTGATTACAAAGATTATAATAAGGGTTGAGCGTGGGGTCAGGCGCGCCCGACCTGGGGGATTGTATTGAGGGTAAGACTGAGGGGAGGAGGTCGTAATTAAGGGCCGCATGCACTAACATCCTCGCGGGGAGGGGATCGCAGCTTGAAACAAAGCTTTATGTTTCGAAACTCCAGATATCTGGATTTTACGTTGTGTACCTATCCGTGAGTATTCCTACTACCCTTCACTATGAACATGTTGAAGAGGAGCGAGAAGTTCTACGAACCGCATTTTCCAGCTTTTGTATGATCCCTGATGATCCCCGGCGCTTTTCTTTAAAGTCATTTTTCTTTCTCCGAAGTTAACGAAAAACCTCCAAAACTGTGCAGACTAACTAACCCGACAGTGCTAAGCATGTTGCTGATAAGAACAAATTTGAGGTTTATCGAAAAATTCGACTTTTCAAAAACTCATTTGTTCTCATCAGCAACATGTTTAGCACTGTTGTGTTAGATGTTCAGCACAACTTTGGAAGGTTTTCGTTAACTTCGGAGAAAGAAAAATGACCTTAAATAAAAGCGACGGGGATAATCAGGGATCATACAAAAGCTGGAAAATGCGGTTGGTACAGCTTCTCGCTCCTGTTCAACATGTTCATAGTAAAGGGTGGTAGGAATACTTAGGGATAGGTACACGACTTGAAATCCAGGTATCTGGAGTTTCGAAATATAAAGCTTTCTTTTAAGCTGCGATCCCGGAGGTTAGTGCATGCGGCCCTAAGAATCGAATCTGTTAAGTTGGGGAGATACTGCAAGGTGAAGAAGAAATGCGTTAGTCCGGTGGATATCGCGATCACATGAAGGAATGACGGTCATAAACAGCACACTGATTGTTTCCACAATGGAATTTTTAGCCACAATTCAAATCTTCATCTCTTTTACCTTGACATATGAGGTCGACAAGGAGGCTTGCTGTGTGAAATGGGTATCATTTCCATGTCAAATTACCTCTATGCGCTCTACAAACCATTACCTACTGCAGTTTCTAGTGTTTCTCAACGTCTGAAAAGCGTGATCAACTTGGTTGCAGAAGTGAGAAAAGTCAGCTTTATATACTCATAACAAAGTAATGTTTCCTACAAGTCTATGCTACAAATCGAGCTTCATATCGCTTTCAAACAGTGAAGTAAAAAGTGGTGCCAAAATTCTAACCGGCGCGCTGAGTTCTTCAACATCTCGGATTAGCACAAGGCCGAAACAACTCGAATCATGCTGAAACACTTACTGTGGAATCTTCAAGGATTGAACTAGCGAAAGATATAAAACTTGGGTAGAAAAGCATTTTCGGAAATAAAGTTATTGGGGTCAGGCGCAACCCCTCAAAAGGTCAAGCCGCCTGAGCTTTTGAGGGGTTGCGCCTGACCTTTTTAACTTGCGTTTAAAATTCAGAAATCGTCCCTTTTTTGATATGAGTATTGAGCGCAAAGCCTCTTCTTGCTATATTAAAAATTTGTAGCCAAACACTCCACCCTTGTGAAAATTAGAGCTTTGAAAAAAGGACTATCCAGATCTAAAACTTACCGTCAAGCTGCGTGTGGTTGTATCGCAGAAAGTCGAGCCTACGGACTTTCAAAAAATAGAAACCTGCATTGAAGGCTGGTCTTCTTCAAAATATAACACCCTGAGGACTTGGAGGTGAAGCGGAGGGTCTTTAGGGGTTTTTACATGGGGAGGGGGGGGGGTCGTTTATGAAGGGCTTCTGCCTGACCTCTTGCTCAACCCTGATTATAATTGTTTTGCTAACCATAGTGTTACTGTATAGTTATGTTTGTTTGGCGGTAAGTGGTTCATGTATATTTACTAAGTTCACGCACTCCTTTCTCTTTTTTTTCCACTACAAAATGATATGGTTTTCTGCTGGAAACACTCAGCGGAAACTCTTTCATCAAACGCTCTTTTTCTTAAACCTTTGCCTACATTATGCGCCGAAACACACACTCTAGAAAACACCACCACAAGATGCAACGGATTCCTTCCATGCACTTACCGTGATCGAGCCGAATACAGCAGTTCAAGACATGAAAAGATTTGTCTCGGCGAGCTGAATCCAAATCTGCCTTCAAATTTGAAATCCATTGAGAACGAAGGGAGTTATGACGAAAAGACGCAAAGTCGGCGACATCGGCGAATTCGGCGGATTCGCCGAAATTTTTCACATTCCACTGTCACAACTGTAGTGGAATAGCGTGCGCGAAAACTCTAGTGCAAGATTTTTCAGAATTTTTGAAAAAAATTTTGTCAGATGGCATATTTTACAATGGTTCCACATGCTGGAAGTTCTTAACATAATCCTACAGTAACGAAGGGCGATCGGTGATTTGCTCCATACTGTATATCTAAGTTAAAGTCTCCTCTACAGAATAGTACTTAGATGGCGGGAAAAGACACAATGGGAAGAGAGCTATTAACGATTGAAAAGTGTGTACTTACTTTTGGGACACCTTGTATAGTAGAGAAATGTAGTTAACTATGTTTGAAGATGACCACTTCACTTGGGTGACGAACCCTTCAAATTCGCTAAAACTTGGTCCATTGGGGCTATTTGAAATGATAGTTACGAATACGCTACTGATTATGCTTCATAGAGTTTTGTTCATCCCGCGAATGATGCTGGAGGGGGAAGGAATATTGAAGCAGAACTTAGGACAAGGAGGTCGCATATGGTGGTTGTGTACCACACCTCTTGCTCGACCCCGAACCTTACCAAGTCTGTGGGGCAAAATGTCGATCAACGTAGTAATCTCCAGGCTTATTACGCGCCACGTTTTGTAAAGAGAAGTGTAGCCGGTCGACGAAGCATCGTAAGTTTCGAGGACATCCGTAGCAGGAACTCAAGAACAGATAACGTTCCCTGCAAACAAATCACCGTATAAAGTATGAGCGTAGGTGTTTTCAACTGTTTTGTTACACCAACACGACCGACTGCGTCTGTCGAAGAGGCAAATAAACGCGAGATCCAAATGCGGCGAATCAAGGAGAAGAGTATTGGAATTGAAGTAACTTCTATTTGGCCGATAAAAGTGTCCACGCCAATCTGGACCCATCCGTTTTTCGCATGGGAACTGAAGAGGGGGCCCTGAATAAGTCACTGCTCAAGCGGCAGGGCAAATTATTTACACGGCTGAAAAATCCGCCCCAAACACTACGCACCTACGCCGTAACCGTAACTCACGAGTGACTAGGGAGGGTCCTAGCGTGAATTCAGTGCTAATCGGGGCAGAGTCAAATGCAGGTTACGGTCACAGCGGTTTGAGGGTTTTGGAGATGGATTTTTCTATCGTGATTGGATGGTTTGCGCTGGCGCTCGGGCAATGCCTTATCGTGGACCCCCCCCCCCCTCATCAGTTTCTACGCGAGGAACCTATGTGCTCGGATTTGCCTGAACACTGCCTATAAGTACCACATACAGCGAAATATCCATGTTAGACTCGCTAGATTAGCTCTATATGGCTCGCGCTTCACATAGTTGCAAAAAAAGGATGGGACAACAAAAAAGTACCAAATCCTCTATGAAAACATCAACGAAAAACAGTTTTAAAAGTTGTTTTTTTTTTGCGTTTAGCAGCATGAAGTTTGTTCTTTGAATGTACCGAAGAATAGAACGAATGCTGGAGTTTTAGATCTATGGCTCCGGTTTGGGAGCAGGGCCTGGCACCAGCTGGCACGGGGCAAGCTGGATATCGTTTTTGGGACAAAAAGCAAAGGGAATGTCGTTTTTGTCGAGAAATTGCGACGTTTTTTTTAGTCGACGTTTCTTTTTTTGGGGGTTTAGGGTCAAGGGGACTTCGTAAAAAGGGGACTTCGTAAAACTTAGCGAAAATCATGGGAGACTTCGTTTTGAGAATTTCCTGGTGCCAGCTCGTGCCGAGCCCTGTTTGGGAGCCTAGGTGTCCGTTCATGAGAGATCTTACTGAGATCTTCTAGGCCAAAAGTACGAAACTCCTTCTATTGCAAATTTGAGCTTCTGGAGCCTCAATCCGAACTTCCTCTTTGCGCAAGACGGAGCAGTGAAACTGGTGGCGCATAATGCCCAGTTTGTGCACCACGTCATTGAATTGAAAACTTTACAGTTTGTCTGATTTGATTTTGCAACCAAGCGAAATTATGCTTACCTCAAACATTTGTCCACAAACCCACTGATTAGCCTTTCAATCGGATCTCGGACAACTGTGAATAAAGTCATATCCTTTCCGAGTTTATCAATGATCGTATCCAGACTTTTTCCAAGATGTCGGTCCTCAGTGCAAAACCTATAATTGCATAAAATTTTCACCTCTGTTTCGCCAACTTGTGACAACATAATGCTAGAATATGTATTTTCCAGAAGTTGATATACTTTTTGCGTAAAGTTTACGAAGACGATGAAAGTGCTTTAGAGGTCGCGGCCAGGCAAAATCTCGTCTTTCGTCTAGTATGGCTTGATCCTAGCGCTGAATTTGAAAATGCACTCATAAGGCACGGAAATGGCGAAAACATTTATGTGCCCCTCCGAAGTCCCCGCGAATGTGATTGCGCGCGGCTGCGCAGGTGACTTGCGGGCTAGTTAGCATCTGCGTCGCTAATTCACGACATCATGACCGTAACCGTAGCGCTACCACCTTAGATGCTATAACATGTGAGCGCGACTCGCCGCAGATTTGCTTCGAGGCAGCGTCCACGTAAAATTTCAACTTCTTTTTATTGTCATCGAAGTTTTCTGGCTCTGATCTCGGATATGAAGTGCAAATCACGGAAAGCGCAGAAAATCTCTCATGCTCTAGTCTAAATCACATAATACGTTGCTTACCACGTCAGAATGCGTCACGGGGATTACAAGGATGGGTGGAGCCAACAAAAGGGGCGAAGCGCAAAAGCGATCCTTCACTCGCAAGTCCATTTTTTCCTTCTTTAGGCAACATCACGGGGCCAGACTAATGCGGTTTCTACTTCCAGGACCTGCTCATGGAGCATAAATTTGGTGGAAGATAGCCCCTTGGATGCAGACATGCGTCCAACCTCCAGTAAGGGGACATGCCAATGAGATTCGAAAGTTACGGGACTAATGAGGAGTTCTCATAAACGCACTATTTGAAGAGCGGAGTTGCGATGCGGGTGCATTGTTTGCATAATTGATTCAGCCCACTATATGTGTTATTTTATTATGTACCTGTTACTCCAATGCTCTCGGCTGATCGTTCTGTTATGTCTCAGAAATTTCTCTGAATCTGTCAAAAAACAGAATATCGCCTCTTTGATGGTGGTCATGACTTTCTCGATTTGGCAGCTGGCGAGACGATATTTGTCTACTACCTAAACCCTGAAAGTCATGAGTAGAAGAAATTTATCCTTAAAAACGAGGTATCTGCAAACCAGGTACTCTTCTCGGAATCTGATAAAGGGTGGCAGCGTATAGGATTTGTTAAGGGCGGCAGCATTTGCTTTTCGCCACTCTGCATTTTCGACCCCAATTCTGTCTGCAAAGCATGAATTTACACCCTTCACAAACTATGACGGATGTTAAGCTTAAGCATCTTTTAGTGATTTTTTGATGAATGTTTAGTGTTCATAGCGTCTCACTTTCAATCACTACCTGTGGAAGAATTCATAAAAAAATATAGGCTAACAACCACAAAAGTACGAGCGAGACTTCAACTTACCACCATAGAAAAATATCGAGAAGGTGGTTGCACACATTAGAAATACAGAGGAGTATATGAATGATAGAAAGGAACGAGGCAATATCATTGTCATAAGCACATCCCTGAAAAGCCTTCATCCTGTTGCTTCAAAAGTGTAGAGTTCGTGAGTTAAAGCTATAGTATAATGCTTTACAAGCACATCGAATAACTAAGCGATAAGCATTTGGCGAAGCGATCAGATTTGTAACTAGAATATAAAGATGTAATCGCAGCGAGGATAGACTTGCATATCAAAAATAATGATCTTCTAGTCCGCTAATTAGCTTTTCCGCTATGCTGTGCTGCTCCAGATTCTTAAAACAAGCACATATGATAGCCTCAAATTCTAAGCCACTGACGGAGAAAATTTCTAGATGGTCGTCGCACGTCGCTCACTAGATAAAAATTATACGATGACAATACACTGTTGTGCTAGACAGCTTTGGAGCTCCAGATTTGTTACGCGATCTAACTATATGCAAGTATTCCCACTACCATTTCCTATGAATATATTATTGATTATTGAACAGGAGCGAGAAGTTGTACAAGTCGCATTTTCCAGCATCATGATCCCCCGATGATTCCTTACGGCCGACCTCAGCATGGAGTAGGTATGAAAAGTTAGTAAATAAAAACAGTAACAGCTCATAAAGGAGATTACCTCAGTAATTCTACGATTAACCTGACACGTGCATATTGTAGAGTTGAAACTATTTGCGTTCAGTAGTCAGTCTTCACTATGAGCAAATTTCGCAACACATTCGTGTGAGATGACTTGATACCGTAACCCTACCGTATCCGCCAAATCTGCCACCAGCAGCATTGAATATTAATACTTATCCAGCGCACTGGGTAGCCCATTCCAGCAAGAACTTATAGAGATTCGTGAAAACTAATGCTAGATATATTCCGTACTTGCACAGATTTCTGCTGTATTGTACTCATGAGAAATGACCTCATCGTGCTGAGTTAACACGTTTCGGACCGCGAAATCGCGCGCGGCGAAAAAGAGTATACTTTCAGCCGTTAGCCTACAAGGGGACCTTATTTCGCAGCCTGTGGGCCACATTTGTAATCAGCATGTCAGATAAGCTCCATATCCAAAGTTCTGAGTGAATTCGAAGTGTTTGAATTTTGTCGCTTGAGAGGGACTTTTGTGCTTTCTTGAAAGATAGGAACAAGAACTCAGATTCTAATAGTATTCAAAAGTATCTATGTTGTACACGGTACACATCATTATTGAAACTAGGGTTTTTCTCTTCGAAATCAAAGCAAAGAAAAGCTGCGACGTCGCGCGCGTCGTTCGCGTCGCCGCACTTCGTTGCAACTGTTGTTCGATTTGTGCTCATATCTCCTAAACAAATAGCGGCGGCACAACTCTACAGAGTCACTTGGAAAGTAGAAGCTTTAGCCTTTGACTTGATAACCTTGGGCTAAGAGAAAACCTCCTGTAAACGTCAAAAAGATCCTTCAAAGCAGGGTGCTGCACCATGTGCAGCACCGGTCCGAAACGTGTTAAATGGTGCTTTTGAAGAATTAAATTACTCTGATCCGAGATACCGCGATCTGACTTGCGACGTGGCAAACCGGTGGCCGCAGCTTTTTCCACGGTCCACGAGTGGTACGGTATCATCCCTAGTTGCTAGACCGCTAGATGGGAGATAGTTTGGGCGCGGACTCAGTTGAATAAAACAATTGGGATCTTGCTAGACTCCACAGTTTTGTCACATCTGCTCTTGCACTACCTTTAAAAAAAGTAAAAAAATTCTTGAAATAGAGTATGATCTTGAGATAAGGTATGTCTGTCATGGGATACTTCCCAAAAGGATCTGATTGCTCCAGTTTACGTTCCTGCATTGTTGACATCCAACTCTCACGAGTTATTGTTATGTCCTCATTGAATAAGCTAGAGACTGATCACATTTCTCTTTCACCATTCATTGATGCAAGTAAATGTAGTCGATTACTGGCTTTCGAAGCTATGATTATTGCGACAAAAAGAAAAATGGTCGATGTGCACGACTATATAAAATGAAACCTATTTAGCCGAAGTTTATGAGCCATATACTTTTGTTTTTTCTGCTTAGAAACTAGTTATGGATTAGCGCAGACGACGATAAACTACAGCACTCAATGATGCAACCCGTTGGCTTAGTTTTACAATCGAAATCTGGTAATTTTCGAGTAGCTTCACTCCACATATTCACAATCATTCTCCTTCTTTATTCCACATATTCATTCAGTCATTCTCCTGCCTCCACTTTTGTAAGAGCAAGAATGTGAATGCTTTACGAATGACAAAGGACATCATATACTGTACGACTCGCGAAGTTCAGATCCGATAGGAGATAACTATTTCTTTGGTGTTTGATCTCATACGAACGAATGCTTTTCGCATTGCCTACTTCCACATATTTCGAACATGCGAAGAATGTGCGCTCATCACAGCTATTCGGAACAGAATCGCTGTGAGACATCATTTCTAGACACTAGATAGTGAGCTGCAAACAGACGATGAAAAAGCTTTAGGCTTCCTCATTTTTCTCTTGTGCTGCTCGTTGCTAGAAAAGTTGCGGCTAAATGATGTTCGTGGACTTTTTCGCTTTTATTATGTACGGTTGTGAAGCAGGAACCACTAAATAAGGCAGGGGAATAGTACGTACTGCCGATAAATCCACTTGTCACTGTTGTTGAGTATAACGGTTTGTGCCAGTGCCCGCCAGTGAGTGGTCCCATTCAATAGCCAAGTTCTATCGTTAGATTTGGCGAGAGCAACTTCAAAGCTCTAGGATAGTTCTTGCGTTGTTATATCGTAATCAAAAGGAAATTTCTCCCTATTTCAACATCCTGAATGTATATTCAAATGACCTGCAACTTGAAAGGGCTGCACGCGATGCCCGGCAACGACACTTTACCAGTAAACTCTACTGAAATTTTTGTAGCGCAACAAACTTTAGAAGTGTTAGAAACTTTAAAAGTGTACTACTAGCGAATTCATATCCAAATGAATCAGAAGAGACTAGGAGGCAAGAAGAATTTACTGGAAAGAACTCTAGTCTTACAAGTCGTCAAGTAGAGCGCATGATGCGCATATTAAGTTCCAGGACTCATCATTTATGTTATGAGGACTTATTTGGTCGCTCTGAGCTCTCCGAAGCTTATTTCTTGTTTACAAAAGAAAAACTATAGTTAATAACCCCTAAAGACATTCTCTTTGCATGACACCAATCTTATACATTATTTTATATGATAAAATTAGCTTTTTCATGCTGTAACCCTCGTCATACCCCTTTAATGCTTGCATTCGTTCGAATTTTGTTTGTCAATCAATTTTTTTTGTCACTCCACGTGTCATAGGACTTATTAGGTTGACGTGGAGGCTGCCATGGTGTCACCTGAGGCGAACCGGATATAATGTAAAACGTTTTCTTTTGTTGGCAACCAATCAACCATATATGCTGCCGAAAGAACACACTTTGTCGCCAGCAAGCTTTCATTATGTTCCTTCATGAAGCTTGGCTTAGAAAAGAGATACGAAGAGATTTTTGAAGTAAGCTTGAGAATTTCTCGACAACCGAATATTTGAAAATTTGCAAAGACAGCAGAGCAGATGAAAACGTCCCTTTGACGGATTTCCAAGTAATACAAGCGGGAAATGGACCGTATGTTTGTTAAGCTTATTGCCAAAATCGTTGGGTTGTTACATTATAATGGAAGTGCTAACTATGTAGAAGGAAAATGACGGCCTGTCAATGACAACATGAATGGATAACACTCGAAAACTTTCAGATTGTATCAGATCAGCCCCACAATGCTTATTAGGTGCTTTGCCTGAGCCTGTACACTTATATTTGAAAACTATCGTGACCTTACGGCTAGTGCACGAAAATTTGGCATAAGAAAAGCTCATATCTTTCTTTTTTTTGGAAGGACTCGCAGATAAACAGAGTGTTCCAAAAAGACGTGCACACTGTTTAATCGTTAGTAACTCTCTTGCTTTCATGTCTTCTGCCGAGCTTGTGGTACCATTGTGTAGAGCGAGGTTCAACTTAGATTTATAGTATGGAGCAAATCAATAATCTCTCTCCATTACTGTATGATTACGGTATGAACTTCCAGCACACATCATCACTGTGAAATAAGCCTTTTGATGGGATAGTTTCAAAAAATCTGAAAACCAGTGTAGCTAAGTTTTCACGCATGTCGATTGCATTACATAACTTTCCACCAGTTTTCAGAGCTTTCTTGATGGCGTATTCACATTTCTGACTAAAATTACAAAAACAGTTGTTACTCTGAATCCGAAATAACTCATGAAAGAAGCACTATACCGAAATGCAATCTTCATATTTAGAATCAGCGACTCTAGTTAGGCCAGTACAAAAGTTTCTGGCTTGTTTGGTTTTCCTTTTGAAGCAAAAATCACTTTCTGTAGCTCAAAATCCTCCTCGAAATTCCTACCGTAATCCTACAGGAATGAAAGGCGACTGATAACTCGCTCCATACTGTAAATCTAAGTTGAACCTCGCTCTGCAAGAGAGTATGTCAAGCTCAGCAAAACACATGAAAGCAAAAGAGTTACTAACGATTAAACAGTGTGCACAACTTTTTGGGACACCCTGTAGAAGGTCTATCTTGACATCAGCGTTCAAAGCTCTTTTCATGGAAAAGAATCACCTTCCGAATCGCCACTTCGACCGAGTGAACTTCCCCTGTGAGTTGTATATTTATACAGATCACCGACAAAACAGGCTGATTTTCACGTGGAAATAATCAGCTCTCGCAATTTTTTACCTCATAAAAGCTAGAGAAGCATTGTCAATCAACTCAACTCAGGTGATGCTAGCATTGACACAGGCGACACCAGCTGAGCAATCATTATGCCGTGCCCCTTGTTTGTGAGCGCACATTTTGGTGAGAGGATTTGCCGCCGATGACGAATTGCTAGAGCTTTCTGCACTCCTCCTTCAACGATTTCAAGATTAGAGGTCTTCGACAGCACATGTGATGTGCTCT